CACACACACATACACTCACACACACACACACACATACACTCACACAGGCACAGACTGTCATAAGCAGTGAATCATCTGATTCATTGACTTGAATAAGAACATTAAACGGATTGCATATGATTTGTCTGTCTAGAAATATTTATGAATATCTTTTATATAGAGCTCAACCAGTTTTACTTGTCTCCCTTCTCATCACAAAAAAGCAAGCACTAACCAGTCAGTATTTATATATGTTATATCTGTTATTCATGCCATTCTACACGCATACTTGTTTATTCCATATGTAATATCTGCTCATGTATATCAAATACATCTGACTGACTTGAGCTGTATCTGTTACTCATGTTGTTATCCATGCCATGTTTATGTGTATATGCATGTCCCTGCAGTGCCCAGAAGTTAGCTGTGATTGACCTGTCCATCAACAGACTGACCGGTCCAGGTGCTGGCCACAACCAACAGCTACAGCAGGTGCTCAACGCTCTGGAGTTTCCTGTCTTCAAGGTAGGAGAATTCAGTTAGTATTATTATGTAATAATAGACTGTTGGGGTACTATTATTGAGCAGCTTTAATAGGCTTCTTTAATAAAATTATGTAGAAGGCAGAACTTGACATTTACATATATATGGAATATGGTAACCTTTGCTTTAGGCCTTGGTGCTATTTTGTGACCTTGACCCACTTAAACTATTGTTATATATCTGCCTAGGCTCCTGAGTGTCTCCTGCGGAAGGCCATGGAGGTGAAGATGGAGATAGATGACATGAACGCCCAGCTTGAGAGCCATGAAGTGCTAGGCAGACTGCTGAGGGGGGCAGAGAGAGACCAGGCCCTCACTGTGGATCACATAGCAGGTGTGTTCATTGTGGTAGAGGTGACACTGCAGATTGCATTGGATGAGACACATGAAATGGATGCCGTACTACAAATTTTGTTGGGTGTGAGACACTGCAAATTGTGTTTGGTGTGACATTCAAAATCTCGTTAGTTGTTACCAGTATGAACTGTATCTAGTATGTCTTTAAGTGTGTTTCTTAATAATGAATGAAGTATATTTTACAGGATTATGCCAGGAAGTAGAAGAGAATGACAGGAAGCAACTGGATGCTTTATTACCAGTTCTGCAGAAAAGGATTTCCAGAGCAAGTCAGGCTTTAGCCGAGTGTCTTGAAGTGAAGGACTGTGTGCAAGCTTGGTGAGTCACGTGGTGGACTGAGCAGTGCAGTTGGTGATGGACAATATAAATGTTATATTCACTGGCCTAATGACCAGTAAATTATTTAATATACTCTCTCTATATGATAAGATGTACCTTTGCACATTTGACTCTGGAAATTAATCTTCCATATTTCATACATATCACGGTGACAGAAACACCTTTTGTGTGGTCTCTGCCATTTTAACAAATGTAAACACAATGCAAGGCTTACTGTAGTTGTAACACCAGCTTGTATTTGGGAGGTACCATGGATTTGGCCTGGACCATGCGGTTCAGCCTCACATGGCATTTTTAGTCTCTTTATTTAGTTAATAAAATAATTGATTTATTACTGAATAATTCCAGGTGGGAGCAGCCCGCCCAGTATTTGGTGCCTTGGTTAAAGATACACGGTAGAACTTACCAGCAGTGGAGAGATCAGTGGACTGTGACTGTCACAAAGTTAAGACAGTTACAAGTACAACAGCAGTGAAATACCCAACTGTGACAGTCACAAAGTTAAGACAGTTACAAGTACAACAGCAGTGAAATACCTACTGTGACTGTCACAAAGTTAAGACAGTTACAAGTACAACAGCAGTGAAATACCCAACTGTGACAGTCACAAAGTTAAGACAGTTACAAGTACAACAGCAGTGAAATACCTACTGTGACTGTCACAAAGTTAAGACAGTTACAAGTACAACAGCAGTGAAATACCCAACTGTGACAGTCACAAAGTTAAGACAGTTACAAGTACAACAGCAGTGAAATACCTACTGTGACTGTCACAAAGTTAAGACTGTTACAAGTATAGTTACAAGTAATAATACCCCCTGTGAAGAGTTTTGTTACTAAACTTGTCTAAAGTAGCAGAAACAGTGAGGAGAAATTGACCTTCACAAATGTATGTCAGCAATGTGATATTCAACAGTAAAAAAAAAAAAAGTCTGGGCTTATTAATATAGTGTTTTTGCAAGAAATCTGTAGTCTATTAGGCAGGGCACTTGCCTGGAGTCACGGACTATTTATTTTGAGTCAGGGTTTTTGTGAACTATTTTCCCCACAATAAGAAACGGAGATGAGGACAAGTTTAAACTGTTGTATCCAAAAATATAACTTAAAATGAAACCAGTTTACATTTTCTGAGCAACAATTTTGCAGATTTTATTACATATGAAAATCAGTTGATCATTCCGACTATAAAATACACAAAAACTCAATAAAAACAATGGCAATGGCAATTGAAATTTGTTTATTTATCCCTCCATTCATTATGACTATCATTTAGAACATAAAACCAATCGCCTTACCCAAGCTTTGAAATATACAACTTGTCCACCAATAGATAATATTTAATAAATAAATAAACATTTGATGCATTTTATTTTGAAGAGCAAAACATCATTATGGCGAAATTGCTCTAATTGTTCTTGCTCTGCTACGTGATGTTCTTTTCTGGCGCCTGTTTGTGAGCGATATACAGGAAGCAAATACTGGAGAGTGCGCTGACCAAGAAGATGACATCAAACCACCTGTGGTAGAAATTAAACTGCAGATCTCCCAAAACATCTGTGATGATAGACCTGAAATAGATGAAGAAAGACATTTAACTAGAAATCTCCAGCTTGTGCTCCAAGTAAAGATTTTATCACCCAGTTAATCCTCTGGGCTGTGGTGATCTAATCATAATTAGATATATTACTCAGTTAAACACATTGGTGGCTTTGGGTGGGGCAGCAGAGGGATTAGAATGGTTCCCTTTGAACAGCTAATCATAATAAGATGTCTATCACTGCAATTTTATAGAATCTACATAGAAAATATTCTCACCTATATTCAGAAGGCATGTTCATCCTCATCAGTAAAACAGAAGATACAAAATACATTCCCTGAAATGGAATACACTGTCATGTTAAATATGTCAAATCACACAATCTTTGATCACTGAGTTGAAACAAATCTTAACCATTATGTCTACTCAACCTCTTTTAAATTAGAACAAAATATGACGGATATCATACATGAATTTGAAAAACTCAAAAGTCCTCTGTCACAGTGTCTGCACAATAAGGTGGGGCCACTGTAACAGTATCACTATCAAGCAAAGCAATTCAGTTTGTTCAACAAATGATGAACACAGCTACAACTTACCATAATCTGAGCAAGAGCTAACACTATCACATTGGAAGATTTGTTACTGGCTATGGCATAGAAAAACTGAAAAAGATGAACCCAATGAGAAAAAAGCCACAATGCTAAATGTTTGGGTTGTATCCATACAAAAAAAGCTGGAGATGGTGTCAAAAATATTTTCAAAACTTTAAACAAACTATATATTTCCACCTACTTCAGAAAATGTAATAGAAGGCAGACCAGAGTCTGTATTACTTGTCACCTTGTAATTCAAAGCTAATCTTGTGCAAATGTGAATGAACAGAGACTTTTCTACCATAGTAGCTGACATTTACTACCTTTGATGTACTTGAAACTTCAAAGTGCTCAAATTATTGGGTCCCAAAGTGTCCAAGATATACATAGTCTACCATACTTAGGCAATAATCTTCAGAAATAATTTTTTTTCAACTTATGTTGTCCTATTTTGATAGTTCCTGTTTGGGTTGAGAGTGACTGCTTGAACATAAAACATACAGCTTACCTTAGTAAGAGTTATCAACAAACCCCTTATAGATGTCACCACGATGATTCCAACTAAAAAGAAAGATATGTGCTGGGAGAAGAATTTCACCTGAAATTGTTAAGTATCCACATTAACATTCAAATTAGAACCACAGTAACTTTTCCCATCAACTCACAAAATACACCTCTGTGACCATTACATTAAGGAGTTCAAACCAAAATTTTACTTTAACTTAATTCAGGTATGCTTTCATTAAGGATAAATCCATAGTAAAATGCTAAATAATGTCACTATTGATCTAAAGCATCAGCTGATTGATCAGTTTCATAAATCATTTCATTAAGTGGATTATGATCAAGTAACCTTGGGTCAAGTTCACAAAACTTCAATTTCAGATCAACTCTTTTAATTTGAGGCCAACAATTAAAAGGTAAAAACAAACTAGCTTTAAGTTCAGACCAACTATCGTTTTGAAGTACAGCTAACAGTAAAGATGAAATCACCACTTACATCAAACTGAATTCCAAAGTACTTGACAGCTATTTCTATTCCTCTAGTCACAGGATCTGTCTTCCCTACTCTGTCAAATACTATATTGATTGTAGCCTGGAATGTACACACAGCATTACGTAACATTCTATGTAATTAATATTAAAAGTTGTCAGTGTACACAGTACAATTGACAAATGCACATTGACAATTTTTATCTAAATTTACTTTTAAGTAAATTATTGGTTCCATGTACGTACAGATTTAAATTTCAATACTTAACTTTCTTTGTAATTAGTATGTTAATTTAAATCTAAGTTATATTTTCTTTGTAATTTATAAGTTAGTCTATATTTCTTTCAGTGATGTTGCAGATGAAAAATATGTTTACTATCCAATCCTACTTACCAGGCATATTTTACAACAACAATAGACTGAGAAAAAATATCCAAGGAAATTAAAATATTTTCCCTTAAAAGTCTTAGAATACTCCATCCTTTCCTAAAAGATAGATAGCATTATTTAATTTTGAAAATCACATTGCAGAAGATGAGTCAATTATTATAATATTATTATTCAACTTATTCCCAATCTGAAAAAAATATGTGGATACTATTACTTTCAAACAGATAGAATACAATCTGCCCATAATAAAAAAAGACCATACAGTCTGATATATTTATAAATATTATTCACACTACAGATGGCACCAGCAGTCAAGACAAGCCACTTACCTGAGTGTTATGTAAATCCACTGTTTCCAGGAACAGCTGTCTACTGAGCTCCTCCAAGGCATCTGCCTCCTGGCGAAGTTGACCTAAATCTGAGTGTTGAAGTTAAGGAAAGTGTATGATATATCTTGACTGCCTTTAACAGTTGTTCCAGTATCTGAAAAGCTCTGAGCAGTTATTTTATATTCTTGCTCGTTTTTATCTAGTGCTCAATATATCCCGTTTTTCTGACCAGGACAGAGCTAATGAACCAAATCAAAGACACCCCACCCCCCAAACTATGAACACATCTTTTACCCAGTTTGGTCATGAAAGGATACTTTCTCCACTGCCTGCAGAAGCGAAACTTTTCACTAGTCCCCAAATCCCACTCCGGCTCTCCCCTGTGTTGGTTCGCTGCATGGCCTCCCTCTTCGCTACAGCAATTCTGCAACATTAGCACATTATTGATTCTTCATTTATCTAATGATATTTACTATATTATTTTTTCTAAATACTAAGTGAGTTAATAAATAAATAATTCATAATAGGCATGTTCACAAACAGATAGGTAAAACTTTTTATATGTTTCACCGATCTCATTCATTTCAAGACAATTGTAATAGTGTCCAGATAAATTAATATATGACTTTTAGATCTCACCTTTTCTTTTTCATTAAGATCATGTCAATAGTTTGCATAAGTCTCCTCTCTACCATCTGAATGTCTGCATCACTAACTGGTCTGATGAAGGGAAGAGACAGAGATAAGATAAATCCATTTGACAGAAATCCGGAAATAATTAATTTAACCAATTCAATGTTGTCTGAAATGTTTAAAATTATAACATTTCTATGAACTAAGCCTTTTTAAAAACTGACCAAAACATCGAAACCACAAAAACAGAGACAACTTTCTGTCCATGTAGAGCAACAGTTCCCACAAACAATCCAAAAATATCAAGCAACTTATCCTCACCGTGCACCTTATCAGTGTGAATGCTTCAATAAACAACCAAAGAACATAAATTTGTTACTTTCAGGGATATACATATATGTTGTTACACACTCAGATATTCAGCATAATCATAGGCTCTATTCCCATAGATTTTAGATCGATCTATCCCCGCGGGGAGTCTCACTAGATTACTTTCAGATAATCCGACTTAAATGTCGGATTATCTGAAAGTAATCCGACTTAAATGTCCGTCCCGCCTACTACAAGCTGTAAGGGGGTAATTAACTTTCGTGTCCGCCTGGCTGACAGCTATTTAGCGTGAACCCCCAGGGAGTTAGGTCGATCTAAAGTGGGTAGATCTAATCTCTGGAAATGGGGTGATAGAGTATGTTTCTCCTATGTGGGGACTCTGGCTGAATACAATCAGATTAACAGATTAAAACTCCTATTTCCTGGCACTGAGTAAAATACAGAAAAGCTATAAAGAAACCAGTACTTAAAGGGATAATAACTCTTCCTATGATATCTATATTTCACAATAAAAACATTGTGAACAGTTCATAGAAATATAATATATTCTGTTGTACCACAAAAACTGCAGTTATAGCTATTATTCTGTCTGAGCTTGTCTTTAGACCACGTGACCTCCATTGATGGCCATGCTCTGTTATAATCTCTTAAAAGATTAAAACAAAAAAGCAAACTTTTTTAAAATAAACCTGGGACTAACTTTGAATGTAAAAATGGATTCATTAACCACTGGTAAGTATGAAAAAAATGTTCTTTACTCTAGGAAAATTCATTTTTTGGCCAAAACGAAGAGTTATTATCCCTTTAAGAAACAAGAGGAGGCATATTGTTAATCTGCTTGCATTTAGCAAGTCTCTATGGAGTTAACATTAATTACCTAGTAAAACAGTTTCATTGTGAACACAATCTAATTTTTTTTATTTTCATCATCACACCTTTCTTCTTACCTGATAAAATAAAACATGGATGTGTAAGGATAGTTGACAGCACCAAATCCAGACAACACTGCCATCAATGTCACTCCTATCACCCCTACTCTGCCTATATACTGCTCTATAGAGATGTAGTCTGGAATATAGAATTTATGTGTCTAGTTCCACCTCTGCTGGATCTGCTTACAGTATTGTGTATATCACACTTGACACTGTTTACAGGGAAGGGGTCTCCTTTCTTCCCGAAGAAGTACAGATAAATAAGCCAATTGTTTCATAATAATAATAATAATAATAATACTATCATTACCATACTTGACACTGTGTATTGGGAAGGGGTCTCCTATCTTCCAGAAGAAGTACAGATAAATAAGCCAAGCGATAGTGGTTAAGCCAATCCTGATATGCTTTTTCTGGGACACTAATGAGAAAAAACGGGATGATTATTAGCAGTTCTTTATAAATTACCATTATAATACTTTTTAATTCAATCATCTCATTATATATATATATATTTATTGCAGGTCACATATAATGTGTATGTATATATAAAAGTAATATACTTAAATTAAAAACTGTAAAAATACTCACTTCTCATAATAATTAATCCCTACGGTTTCTATTTTCAAAACTTAGATATAGTTCTTTAGTTATCGCTCTAGTTCTTTAATACAAAATGAGTGAAAAAATAATATATGTTATATATTGGCTGTATTATATAATAGTTTGATATAAAATTCAGTACCACGAAGTACTGTTGACCCTTACCAAACTGGACGTTACTGACCACAAAGTAGGCAATATAATATGGCAGTACAATGATAAGGAACAGCAGCATGGCATACAGACCTACATACCAGTGAAACTTTCTGGAGCTGAATTAGAATTATCACAAAAATAATCACAATCAAGTAGTTAGATTTTAGTTCAAGCTCAATGATATAGAATAAGTGGTAAATGATACTTCAAAAAAAGACAACACATCATTACAACACATATTTTTTTTCTTTTAAATATAAAACAGTTTCTCTATTTCAAATGTAATTGATATTCAAAACATATTGCTTTTTATTGTAAGTTACAGAATCATGTCATCAATGACAAAGAGGAGAGAATAAGCATCCACTACTTAAAATAAGTAACCTGATGTACCCTGTTCCTTCACAGCCTACCTTGCATCTAGAACCCCCAAAATTTCAAATATAATCAGTTCAAACATGGCACAGGACAAGGCAAAGGTCACAGAGAAACACAGCAACACAACAAAATGGTGCACCTATGAAAAATAAATAAGTTATAACTGATGTCAATTTGCCGTTCTCCACATCTTCTAATGGAAACGGAGAATGTATTTGAGAAACAAACTGTAGACTTACACTTTGTATGCAGAATGAAATTTTCAAAATTAGATAATCTCTTTCTTTTTATTTATTTTTTTCTTTAAAGTCGTATTTAGTATTTAAAAAGTGAATTTATACTCATGTGTGATAGGGAAAGAAGTCGCAACTCAAACCTCATAATCTCTAAAAAGCTGCTTTAAGAAAAATACCCATCCTCCTGCAAAGAAGATGATCTGAAATAAACAAAAATTGAAATAAAAATACAAAACATAATTATGTTGAGTAGGTCTCCATAATAATAAAGTTTAATGTTCTGGTACTTCTAAAGGAAAACTACACGGATAATATTTTCAAGATGGTGTTTGTGGAAATGAAAGTAAATCACTTTGCAACACAAAAACTGTAAAATGATTAATTAAGATCTGTTTGTGTGTGTGTGTGTGTGTGTGTGTGTTTCAGAAAGATATTTCAGTGCACTGATGATTCATTTGGCTGTAGCTAAGTGAAGGTCCAGTTGCTAGGGCAGAATTCTTTAGGCTGTGAGTTATGAAAGGAATTAAGTACAGCCTAAAGACAGGTGTCACTGCAGTAAACGGTGACACATCTGTCACAGCACGGCATTTCAAATTCACTTTTGTAAAATCCAAACTAAGCTTCGTCAACCAAACTTGTTCTTACCTGAGAAAAGAACATCACACAAGAATCCACGAGAAATGACATTCTGAGTGGTAAGAAAGCTATCTAAAGGGGTGAAAATTCAACAATAATGCCTCAGTTCAATCATTCCATGGGAGGCGCCATGTTTATTAGCCTAGGCTTCTTGAAAAGCTATTGGTGATTGGTTAATAGTTGGTTCACAGAGAAATGTTATTTATCAAAAAGTAAAACATTGATTCTTCTTTTTAAACACACATGATGTAATATCTATACCTATTAAGTTTTTATTAAGATTTAGCAAAGAGTTTTCTTTAGGCGCAGCAGACATCATTTATTTCCCCCGTGTTTGTGAGTATGAATGATGAGGTACAGCCAATCAATGTCCAGGTTATGGCGGTGATGATGAGTGGAATCCTTCGGCTCTTCGATCAATTGGACATTCACCTTCAAATGTCTATATTTGATGAAATAAAATGTACGAAAAAAAGGATGAATTGTTAAGACGTCTCCTCTGTTGGGTTTTATTTAATATTTTGTTTACATTTGGGCAGTTTTAAACAAAAAATCGATGACTTTCATAAAGTTCTCTCTGAAGTGATTGATATTGTGAGGGAGCAGTTTTGCTCTTCCGTAAGCGCCATGTTTACAACTCCAACATGACTGTAGAGCAGTCATTGCTACCGCAATCTTATAATAAGAACCAGGTAAGTCGTCCTCTTTATAACTCAGCAACTTCATGTCAAAATGACTAAGCATTAGAGCGAATGTATACTAAATCATAAGCTGTATGCTTCCTCATATCGATAAAACGCGGCGCTGTCTCAGACGCTGGGCACCCAACGCGTTCAGTATTACGCATTGGTGTCGGAAATCCCCTTATATACACTGTCCAGGTTTGACTAATTTATACATAAAAGAAGTTGTACGATTTGTTATGATGTTACCTGCAGATAGTAACATTTAATATAAGAAATCAATAGCATGTTATGTGCTGTATATCAGCAAACTGACCCTACCCCCTTAGTTATATCTTGCACCTCAACTTCAGCTTGCACTTTCAATACTGCAGCTAGTGACAGAGCCTCTCTCCTTGCAGACTAAGATTTTTGCTGCTGAAGTGCAAAAATGGTGTTCAAGTGATGATTTTCAATTTTACTGCAAACATGAAAAAGAGAAGATCTTGCAGTGTTTGTTGTCCACTTTCTATTTGCACCCATTTTGCATGAAGGTGGTTTAATTTGTACAGATTATTTAGGAAACTTTTATCCATTGAAGAACAAACTGTATCAGTTATTACTGTGTACAGTGAAGTTGATACCCAATCTTCCTATACATGCAAAGAATTTAAAGTTATATATTATATAACCAGTCAAGGCACCTGTCATAGAGCTATTACTGTAGATGATGCCTACTTGACCCAAGTTGACCTTGAGGAGGATATGAACTATGTTTACAACACTGGGAGTGAAATGAAGTGGGTGCTTAATAATCTGATATTGCTTGCTATAAGATTGTTATAAATGAATGGACTCAATTTTCATAGCAGAAAAATGTAAACTAGTCTAGTCCTTCACACCCATCCCTCTAGCATGGGTCAATTAATGACTTAATATTTTTCCAGCCAGAAAACAACCTTCTAAGCAGAACAGAGTTTCAGTGTCAGTCCCATGAGCAATGTGATTATACGAGAGTTTGTTTCTGGGTGGAGAAACAATTTCTAAGGAATTTCTCACAAGAAGAAGTCAGTTTCTTGTTGCCATTCCCCCCACCACGAGAGTATGTGTATGATTTTATGATGATAATGCTGTGTTGTTTTACATGTTGTCATTTGACCTGCTGCTATCTCAGTATTGTCTATTATGTCCTTTACAGCCAGAGCGTCCAGTACGTATAGAACCCAATGTGTTAGAGCAGATTAAGGAGGTGACGGGTATTGAGGACGTCAAGGTGATCAGCCAGGCTATATCAGCTTGCTGTACAGAGCAGGGGAAGTATGACTTGTCTGAGGTGGTCTCTCTGCTCGTCTCGGAAGTGGCGACCATCAAACCCACACAGCAGAAACCGGTACGTATAGTGGACAGGATGAGGATAATCCATAATAATCCACATAATAATCCCCATGAACAAGACAATTGTAACTTTTTTATCTGTGACAGACTGGTTCGCTGGTTCGCCAACCATTGTTTGACCTCCCCTGTGAGGCATTTCATTGAGAAAAAAAAACAATTGGGATACATTCTTTGCTGTAGTTTTATTTTGACTTAAGCAACTTATAAATTATTATAGCAATTTTTCTGTGCATCAAAGCTACTTGGTCAAGACCAATCTCCCCTGACTTCATAAACACTGCTGAAGGAAAAGAGTTATTTCAGCAGCTACGTACTGTTGTACTGAAGGAGAAGTGTCATTTCAGGAGCCTGTAGAGAAACCAGAGAAGGACACGGAGCAGACGACAACCAAGATTATCACCCAGCCCACGGATGCCACAGATGTCCCTGTGAACACACGCAAATCTAAGAGTGACAGTGCATGTAGGTATCCCTGTGAACACACGCAAGTCTAAGAGTGACAGTGCATGTAGGTAGTCCGGTGGAGTCCAGTGGAGTAAATAACTGATAGATAGCATAAACAAGAAAAATTACACAATATATATGCATTGCAGTTTTGAGGCTTCTTTTTGATTTGTGAGAGACCTCATGATCATAGAAAACAGGAGTTTTCAAACTGTTGTGAACAGTATGTGATAAGGAACACCAAAATGCCATTTTAAGCCCAAAGTGTGCTTATTTATGGAGATTGATTGCAATATGCTACTACGATAAAGATAATTGCAAGACAGTTAGTTTATGCCAGAATAGTAAGAGTATTGCCATTCAAAAAGTCATTGAAAAGTCATCAGGTTTTACTTGCTAAGTTTTGCATGGTTTGGGCAGCCTGAGATGATGAGATAAGATAAGATAAAGATTTATTTAACCATTAGATGTACAAAAATATACAACACCAAGAATCCATTACACAGCAGCAGTGTTGCTGTGTTAGAAAGAGTAGTAAGATTTAAATAAGTTTTAGAATGCTACTCCTTTTATCTCCAAGTTTGGTTTTGTTGCAGTAGTAGTTGACCTGACCAACGATGAAGATCAGCTCCAGAAAGCCATCGCTGCCAGCCTGCAGGACAACCAGGGAATTCTGGGAGGACAGATCTCGCGAGAGGAGCAAGATATTAGTAGGCGAGTCTGGAATCTGGAGAAACCAATAGTGGTCTATCTCTGCTCTCCCCAATTGACAAGTTGTGTTCCCTGCATAATTAGTGAAAATAGGCCTTGAGCATGAGCCCTGATGAAACAAAAGTATCAGTTAATATGAGATAGTTTACATTATTGACAGATATGTGTCATTTTGTCTCAGTGAAACTGTTTTAACATAAGTTGATAAAGATAAAAAATAAAAATATAATAAAATGACACTATTGTTGATCTTGATGATATACTTCAATTGTTTCCATACAGAATCCTTGAGGCGAGTCTGGCAGAGAGTAAAGCTGGCACCAAAAGGAAAAGAGGCGACATTTGGTTTGTTGACCCCCTCAATCCATATGAGAGGAGAAGGAAGGAGGCGTGGCCAGTGGGGCTCAAAAATGTGGGCAACACGTGTTGGTTTAGTGCAGTCATACAGGTAAAACCACTGCAAGAACTGTGTTACAAGATGGATTCAGTCAAATTCTTTTTTTCCTTAACCAGAAAGTGATCCACATTCTTGCCAGTCCCTAAATCGGCTCAATCATTTCTTTCTTCCTGGTTGAGTTGTTGCTTTAGGATTATTGTATTTTATAATTGCAACCCTGAAGAATAAATATTCCAGATTAGCACGCAATGCTTCTGTGGGGTTAATTCTGGTTGCCATAGCAATGTATGACTTTCAACCTTCTCTCTATGAAGTCTAAGGGAGAGTGCAAATGTCATAGATATTTAATGTAACTAATGACAATGCCAAAATAATATTTGTGTCAGAGAAATTCAAATAGAACATGATATTTAATTAGTTTTATTCGTTTTCAATGAAGTCCTTTTCTGAAGTTGGTTTCTAGATGCTGAGTGCAGTTAAAGTTGTCAGTTATAATAATCAATGCTTTGTTTTCAGTCATTGTTTCATCTTCCTATCTTCCGCCACTTGGTGCTGAATTTTGTCTCTCCAGCGGAGACACCACAGGGAACGCTACAGGTAGGCATAGCACACTGGTTTTTATAGGCTCGATTCCATTACTTTTATATTGATTGATGGACTGATTTTGATTTAAGTACATTTATACCAGGACTGTGACAAAACAGTACTTACTTTAACTAATATACTAAAACTTCAATAAATTATTAACAATTTACACACAGACAGCGGTTGACTTAGTTCATTGGTCTTCAGTGAACCAGTAAGACATCATTAACAAGTTAAGTTACATTGACTTGTGGTTAATATTAGTGTTTTACTACAGGGTATTGTGTTCAGTATTACAGATTAACAGCAATTCTGTCTATTTTCCCAGGAAAAGCGTAACCTGCGTTTCATGCATGAGCTGCGGCGTTTGTTTGCACTGATGATCGGGTCTCAGAGGAAGTATGTTGACCCTTCTAAGGCTGTGGATATCTTAAAGGAAGCCTTCACTTCTCCTAGTGGTACCAGTGACAGTCAACAGGTACTTATATATCATAATGTATAGAGTTAATAGTATACCAAGACTGTGGATATCTTAAAGGAAGCCTTCACTTCTCCTAGCGGTACCAGTGACAGTCAACAGGTACTTTTATCACGTTGCAAAAATAATACATAAATAAATAAAAAAATTAATAAATAAATTAATTAATTAAAATGTTTCCATCAGTTCAATAATATAACTTGTGTATATTCTAGGATGTGAGTGAGTTTCAGCACAAGTTACTAGAGTGGTTGGAGTTCACATGTTATAATAGACCTTGTATATATTCTAGGATGTGAGTGAGTTTCAGCACAAGTTACTGGAATGGTTGGAGGAAGCTTTCACATGTCATGACTCCAGACCTACATCCCCTACACAAGGGTAAGGATTTGGGACTGCCTCTAACCAGACATGCTGAAATTTTTATAAATACAGTGATAATTTGGACCAGTAGTTAGGAAAACACTTCTGACTTTTTATAAGACTGACTGTAAAATCAAAATGTTAGCATTCATACTCACTCACTGTTTTATCTGGCCTTGAACATATTATTAGCAGTGACTGATAAGACTGACAGCTAATGCATGTTTGTTACTACTGAACTTGTTACTCAGCTCATGCCATATGTGTTAGAAATCTTTGTACATGGCAATTACATGCTAGAAATCTTTTTTTTGCCAGACATACACCAGAATATTTTTTCCTGATATGAGGATTGTTTATTTTAATATTACACTTGCAATGAAAAAAAAAAAAACTAAATTGAGCAGTCAGATGAAGTTCTGATATAGAATGCCAGGTTTAGAAATCACTGATTTATCAGAGTTTTTGTGTGTATTAATGCTGAGGTGATGTTTAGAGATATAAAGTCCTCATGACTGTCTTATTTCAGAACTAGTACATGTGAAATTAAGAGATATAAAGACCTTATGACTGTCTTATTTCAGAACTAGTAGTGAAGAATCTCTTAGTAGTGCCAAAAACCCCATGATAGATTTATTCTATGGCCAAGTCACCACGGATGGATTCCATGAAGGTAGTGAGCATGGTTTTAAGGTCTATTATCGTAATATTTGAGAGGATATTTTCATATGATTTTACATGGTTTTCCAATATTCCTTCGTTGGGTTAAAGTTTTTAATTGAAATAGTCACAGACAAAAGTTTTTTTTTTTTTAATGAGTAAATATATATAATGGAGCCTGCATATTCCAGGTGACCTTGTTTTTATTTCACTTTGTTCAGCAAGGACATGTCAGGGTGCCATTAGTTTTGATATTTTTCAACATAATTTGTATATTAATTCACATAATTTGTTTATAGTTCTGCATAATTTGTGTATAAATTCACATAGTTTGTATATAAAACAACATAATTTGTGTATCAATCCACATTACTGTGGTTTATTTCCAGGCAAAGCTTTCTGCAGACAGGAGACATTTGGTCAGTTTCCTCTCCAAGTGAATGGTTTCCATGACATCCATGAGAGTCTAGAGAACGCCACGGCACAGGGAGAGATTGAGACTGTCACTGGGGAGTCCTCATCTAAATCTGGCCAGGAGGTAAACTATCTTAAAATAAGTCAGGTGGTTTATTTATTTATTTATTTATTTTTTTTTTAATGTATTTTTTCCATAAAAGTGGTATATCTTCCCCATATCCCTGGTGTGATTTATCTTTGGAATAGAAACAGTTTATAATGACTTCGTAGACCCGTATCAGGTTAAAAAAATTCATCTGAATAAATTTTGTTGAAGCTGTATGAAGATATATGGTTGACTCTCTGATCTTGTCTCTAGACTCAGTTTTTTTGGTTTCCCTCGTTATGTGTTGTGTGGTGATTTTTGACCAGAAACAGTTTAAGGGCGTATTCCCAGAGCTTTTAGATCGATCTATTCCCGCGGGGAGTCTCAGTAGATTACTGTCAGATAATCCAGCTTAAATGTCAGTCCCGCCTACTACAAGCTGTAAGGGGGTAATTAACTTTTGTGCCTGCTTGGCTGACAGCTATTTAGCGTGAACCTAAAGTAGATCGATCTAATCTCTGCGAATGGGGTCTAAGTTTACAAGCTGATGGGAGCTGAAGACCTGCTTACTGTACACTTTAAATCTTGAAAATTTGCACTGACATTTTATAAAAACTGATTCTAACAATTTTCATTGTGTTGTTGTGTTTTCAGCAATGGTTTACAAGACTTCCTCCTTTCTTGACCTTTGAGCTGTCAAGATTTCAATTTAATCAAACATTGGGGAGGCCAGAAAAAATACACAACAAATTAAAATTTCCTATGACAATCTATATGGACAGGTGAGTCTGGCAGCATGGATTTGCTGAATAGAATGCTCTTGTTGTCTTTTTAATAAGTATGATACGATTTGTGTGTATTGTGCTCAGTCAAATACACAAAAGGTCTTGATTGTATTGAGCGATTAATTTTGCATGAAATTCTTTCCAGTAATAAGCGTTCATGATATTAAATGTCAATAAAGCTTAAAGCTGTGAAAACATTGTGAAGATAATGTACATTCATAGTATCGTTGTCTTCCTGTATTGTAGGTATATGGAGTGCAATAAAAGTGTGACAAGACAGAGGAGAGAGAAAGTGAAAAGTCTGAGGGAAGAATTACAGCATTTACACAGTAGATTAGACAGGTTTGTGGCTAGTATCTGTCATAAAGGTTATAATAATTATTTGATTTTAAGTTTATTTTATTATTATTAACTTTTGTAGTATATTATTATAATTTAAACTTGATCTTTAAGTTTTTTAAAGGTGGCACAAATCTTCATCAGTTGTGCTTGAAATGTGTTCAGCAATTTTATTTGACTTTAATATTTGTATAGTTTAATATTCAATTTCTATCTCTACTAAGCATATTGTATTTTCAGGTTCACAAACTATGGGTCTGGACCCAAGAGATTTCCCCTGCAAGACGTGTTACAATATGCTCTAGAGTTTGCTCAAACCAACCCGGATGTTGCCTGCTCGTCTCCCGCGGGCCCTGCAGCGCCCCCTGTCTGTGATGTAGTACAAGATGTGGAAATGGAATCCCCCAGGTCTCTCAACAACAGGTGTGCTTTGCTGGGTTTATATCATTCTCTTCCAGAGGTTACTGCTGTGATGCTTAGCAAATTGTTATCGTTTTACTAACATATATTAAGGCCATATTGACTCAACCAACTTGAGTGGAATTATGAATTAGTTTTGTTACACTGATTGTATGTATATTATTTATATTCTCAGGTTGTAAAAATAATTTGTATTTTGTATTATCTATCTTTTTATTAAAGTATATGTATTTACTCACACACTGATCATCTCTAATTACTGGTGTAACAGTCATCTCTAGTTAATGTTGTATACAGGTGCGTAGAAGCTTTTTCTCTACAAGTCTAGGCTATTTGTCGATCAGAAGTTGTTGCTAACTTGTTTTGCTAGTGACCAAGTCCATCACTGTTTGCTGTAAAAAATGGAACCTTAGTTTTTTAAAATGATCAGTGACAGCACAGTCATTTCAGACACACTTGATAATTTTCTGGTAACTTTTTATTCTCTGGTGTGTTCTTTCAGTTCAAACTTAGAAACCCCCTCCCCCTCGCTTGTGAAGTCATCATCATTACCTGATGTTGCCATGGCGTCGCCGCATGGTAAGCTTTCCTCCCCAGCAAAACGCCTTCTAGTCGTGCCAAAGCCTGCCCCGCGGGAAGTGTCCAGTACGGAGCTTGGCGTTCTACAGTCGTGTCTTACAAGATGGAGGACTGAGGTGGAAAGTGACGTGAAAGGTACGGGACAGAGATAAAGCTAACTCGGACTTCAGACTTAAGTTGTCAAAATTAGAGAAAATAAATGAGGTGTTTTGGTTTAAGAGGAAAGATGAAAATAGCTGTCAGCTGCTATGTTTTCAGACAATAGAATTAGTTTCATTTCCTTAAATGAGGGTACACGGTACAAGCACTGGGAGAATGTTTTACCACATTAACAACTGCTATTTACTGCTACATAAAACAAAAAGTTTTCCTATGTGTTGATGTTTCTTTCCAGAATTACAAGATGGTATTAGTCGTCTGGACGAGGAAGTTGGGAACATGTACAGTGATGACATGATGAAAAAGGTTTGCTGCTCTCATATTCTACAAATAATGTGATATTTATGATTTCTTGTCCACAAGTATGCCCTGCTTCATATAAATATATATATAGACAGTAAATTATCAATTAATGCCAAGGCTATAACACTGCAGCTCAGAAAAAATTTCGAAATTCACTTAGTTTTTTCCATACATATTTTTAGTTTGTATGTGTTTATAGAACTAGCTGTTCTTTTTATTTCCCTCACAGTTCCCATACAGACTCCATGCAGTGTTAGTTCATGAGGGTCAAGCTGCCTCTGGCCACTACTGGGCCTATGTGTATGACCACGCTAATGGACGCTGGCTAAAGTTCAATGACATTACTGTGACTGAGGCATCATGGGAAGAGCTGGAGAAGGAAGGTATTGGTGGCTATCACAACGCCAGTGCGTACTGTCTGATGTATGTGGATACTAGCCGAGAGGACCTTATACAGGGTAAGCTGGGGCTGTTCTCTCAACATGACTAAAGAATGAAAGTTGGTCTTAACTTATCCGGGGTAAGCTGGGGCTGCTCTCTTAACATGACTAAAGAATGAAGTTGGCCTTAACTTATAGACCTAAAACTTTAGTTGACTTTAATCTTGACTGAACAGTTAATGTTGTTCTCAAATTAAATGGAATATTTCCACTGTATTGTAATAGAAAAAAGTGACTAATGTATTAGACTGCTCTGGATTTGTTATGGAATCAGTAGTCTGGATGGAAATGACTTTTGTGTCTGGTATGATTTGATTTGAGTAACTTTTGAATGTTACCAAATCTGACCTAATGTCTTCATTACCAAATACTATACTTTTCAGAATACCATTCTTTATGTTCCTTTATTTTGAAACACAGCAACTTTTTAAAATACCATTCTTTAAGTCCTTTTATTTTGAACTACAGCAATAGAATACGTAAAACAATGAAGAATGTGTTGAAGGTAACTCCTCCCTCTTGTTATCAGATAGCAGTAGTCTAGTAGACAAGGAGACAGGTCAGATCAGTAATAGTACCCAGACTGATGTAGTGAAGAAGCTGGCCCAGGATCTACAGGACTATATCAGTGAGGATAACACCAAGTTTTGTCAAGAGATGGAAGACTGGGACAGGAAACAACAGCAAGCCGCTGCCGCCGCTGTCACCACTGCTCCCACTGCCGCCACTGTCACAACTGCTCCTGGTGCTGGGGGAGACTCAGAGGTCACTATTGTAGGAGAGAAAAAACCTCTTAGTCCTACAGGTCAGTGACCTGTAATTTATCAGAACTTATTTCTAGATCAGAGGAGAAATCTTAACAGGGATTTTCTTAATCTGGTTTGGTGGTCATTGTGATTGAACTGTAAGTCAAACTTTACCAAGTGAACGCTATGTGACATAATAAAAACACTATGTGACATAATAAAAACACTATGTGACATAATAAAAACACTATGTGACATCATAAAAACGCTATGTGACATAATGTATTTAAAATATTTGATAACTCTTTGTTTCTTTTCTTTTGACTCTGTATTCTTAGACCATAGACCCAACCTTGACCTTGACCTATATTTCAGTGTCTAGTTCTGTCCAGAATTCCCAGTCTTACCAGCATGCTCTGCTGGCACTGAGGTCCACTGTGGATACTCTGGAGGCTGTGCTGGGCGCCATGACCAAGGAACAGTGGGAGCAGAAACGTCCAGAGGGACACGTGCTACAGGTATGGTGACACTGTGGCCCAGTTCAGGGGTACCAGAGTTGTCATTGTAACATTGTAAATCTTAGTATATAAAACAACAGGCAACAAAGAAAAAGCCTAGAAGTGTGCATGTGTTAGTTTTAGGGAAATTTTATTCTCAACCATAAAGAGGACTCTGCTCAAGTTTTTGTTGTATTGTTTCCAGCATAAGGAAGTCATGATTTTGGTTTCAGTTTTTGTCACAGTGAAAGATGTTATATTATGGTTGTGGGAGAAATGAATGAACATCAGAAAAATGTATCTTCAAATTGCTCTGGGAACCCAGCAGTGGTGGGATGCTGCTGGTGGTACATACCCAGGAGGCAGTATAGCCTCTCTTATCCTCTGTTTTTACAGCAGTTTTGAAATTGTTTACAAGAAAATTTGTCTCTTGAGATAAAAACTCATTTGATGCTTAATTCCTGTGCTGATTTCTAGGTGGCCAATTTTGAGATTAACAAGGCTGAGAAGCTGAGTCAAAAACTCCCAGAGATGCTACCTAAGAAGGACAGTAGATTGTCACACATGCTGGTGTATTGTATTGCCTGCAAGTAAGTAATACAGAGAGAGAGAGAGATAGAGAGAGAGAGAGAGGGGGGGGGAGGAAAGAAAACTGCATGTGATATTATCAAAGCCCCAGTTTAGCAATGCTGTCCAAGTTTTACTGGTACACTGTGCAGTACAGCATACTTAGTTATATTTTATGACTGACAAATACATTTGTGTTGGTTTCTTAGTTAACAGCCTAAGTTATAAAGTCATGGGCAGATTTTGATAAATTCTCAGGATGGATCAGAAAGGGCAGACTTAAATATGATCAGATTTTGTGAAAGTGCTGATCCATTAATCAGTTCATGCATTCATTGATAATGAGATTTGAGCTGTCTTGGCTTAGGTCTGCCCTCTCTCTTAATAGTTTTCCACTAGTAGTGATAATTTTTGTTTCTCCCAGGGCCCCAACGCATTCAGTCATTCACAGAGTGGTGATGGAACAGATTGCCTTCACCAGGATAGGAGACACGGATGCAAAGTAGGTCATGTGTGGATAACATGTCACCAAGGTGTGCATGCTGTGTTAAGGTTATACTTCACATCACTAAGGACTTATGCTGTGATTTTCTCCTAGTTTTTGTTGTGATTTTCTGCCAGTTTTACTACAGCAAGGTGGTTAGGGTCCAGATGCTGTTCCTGCACCAAAAACTGATGTTTTATCAAGTGTAGTGTCTGTGTAAAAAGCTGATGATCTAAATGTAATTTTTGAATGAAGAATTTTTTTTGAAGATGCATTTTATTTTTAGATTAAGGACAAAAATTAAAAAAAAAATATTTGCATAATATTATGAAAAACNATAGACCAAAAACTTCAGTCGACTTTGATCTTGACTGAACAGTTAATGGAGTTCTCAACTTAAATGGAATATTTCCCCTGTGTTGTAATAGAAAGAAGTGACTAATGCATTAGACTGCTCTGGATTTGTCATGAAATCAGTAGGATGGAAATTACTTTTGTGTCTGGTATGATTTGATTTGAGTAACTTTTGAATGTTACCAAATCTGACCTAATGTCTTCATTACCAAATACTATACTTTTCAGAATATCATATTTTATGTTCCTTTATTTTGAAACACAGCAACTTTTTAAAATACCATTCTTTAAGTCCTTTTATTTTGAACTACAGGAATAGAATACGTAAAACAATGAAGCATGTGTTGAAGGTAACTCCTCCCTCTTGTTATCAGATAGCAGTAGTCTAGTAGACAAGGAGACAGGTCAGATCAGTAATAGTACCCAGACTGATGTGGTGAAGAAGCTGGCTCAGGATCTACAGGACTATATCAGTGAGGATAACACTAAGTTCTGTCAGGAGATGGAAGACTGGGACAGGAAACAACAGCAAGCCGCTGCCGCCACTGTCACCACTGCTCCCGCTGCCGCCACTGTCACAACTGCTCCTGGTGCTGGGGGAGACTCAGAGGTCACTATTGTAGGAGAGAAGAAACCTCTTAGTCCTACAGGTGAGTGACCTGTAATTTACCAGAACTGATATCTAGATCAGAGGTGAAATCTTAACATGTATTTCCTCTGGTTTGGTGGTCATTGTGATTGTACTGTAAGTCATTCTTTACTAAGTGCACACTATGCAACATAATGTATTTAAAATATTTGATAACTCTTTGTTTCTTTTCTTTTCTTTTGACTCTGTATTCTTAGACCAGAGAGCCAACCTTGACCTTGACCTATATTTCAGTGTCCAGTTCTGTCCAGAATTCCCAGTCTTACCAGCATGCTCTGCTGGCACTGAGGTCCACTGTGGATACTCTGGAGGCTGTGCTGGGCGCCATGACCAAGGAACAGTGGGAGCAGAAACGTCCAGAGGGACACGTGCTACAGGTATGGGGACACTATGACCCAGCTCGGGTGTTCCAGAGTTGTCATTGTAAACCTTAGTATATAAAACAACAGTCAACAAAGAAAAATGCCTAGAAGTGTGCATGTGTTAGTTTAAGGGAAATTTTATTCTCAACCATAAAGAGGACTCTGCTCAAAGTTTTGTTGTATTGTTTCCAGCATGGGGAAGTAATGATTTTGGTCTCAGTTTTTGTCACAGTGAAAGATGTTATATTGTGGTGGTAGGAGAAATGAATGAACATCAGAAAAATGTATCTTCAAATAGCTCTGGGAACCCAGCAGTGGTGGGATGCTGCTGGTGGTACATACCCAGGAGGCAGTATAGCCTCTTTTATCCTCTGTTTTTACAGCAATTTTGAAATTGTTTACAAGAAAATTTGTCTCTTGAGATAAAAACTCATTTGATGCTTAATTCCTGTGCTGATTTCTAGGTGGCCAATTTTGAGATTAACAAGGCTGAGAAACTGAGTCAAAAACTCCCAGAGATGCTACCTAAGAAAGACAGTAGATTGTCACACATGCTGGTGTATTGTATTGCCTGCAAGTAAGTAATACAGAGAGAGAGAGAGAGAGAGTAAGGGGGAGGGGGGGGGAGAAAACTGCATGTGATTTTATCAAAGCCCCAGTTTAATAATTCCATCTATGTGTTACTGGTACACTGCGCAGTATTGCATACTAAGTTATATTTCATGAAAACAAATGCATTTTTGTTGCTTTCTTAGTTAACAGCCTAAGATGTTAAGTCATGGGCAGATTTTGATCAATTCTCAGGATGGATCAGAAAGGGCAGACTTAAATATGATAAGATTTTGTGAAAGTGCTGATCCATTAATCAGTTCATGCATTCATTAATAATGAGATTTGAGCTGTCTTGGCTTAGGTCTGCCCTCTCTCTAAATGGTTTTCCACTAGTAGTGATAATTTTTGTTTCCCCCAGAGCCCCGACGCATTCAGTCATTCACAGAGTGGTGATGGAACAGATCGCCTTCACCAGGATAGGAGACACGGATGCAAAGTAGGTCATGTGTAGATAACATGTCACCAAGGTGTGCAGGCTGTGTTAAGGTTAAAATTCACATCACTAAGGACTTATGCTGTGATTTTCTCCTAGTTTTATTGTGATTTTCTGCCAGTTTTACTACAGCAAGGTGGATAGGGTCCAGATGCTGTTCCTGCACCAAAAACTGATGTTTTATCAAGTGTCGTGTCAGTGTAAAAAGCTGATGATCTTAATGTTATCTTTGAATGAAGAATTTTTTTTGAAGATGCATTTTATTTTTAGTTTAAGGATGAAAATTTAAAAAAATGATATTTACAAAAAAAAAAAAAAAAAAAACATTTTTACATGTTTATGAAATCAGCAATGTTTTGATGTCCTCGTGATATGTTTATGCTTACGCTGGTATCTGTTCTGTTACAGATTTAAGGCTATAAAGGGAGCAGCTGAGAGAAAGTTATCAGAAATGATATCAGATGCTAGTGAACAAATGAAGAGTGAATACAAGGTATCGTTTAGTAATCGGTGTAGCACTATCAAAGTACTGTTCTCTTCTCAGTTTGCTTAAATTTTTTGGCTGAACCCAAGATCTAGAAAATGGCAGCAGGCATACTGGCTTAGTCCAGAATTGTACCATTAACAATACCAGCATAGTAGTGTTTAACCAGTGATTATACTTTGGATATCTTTAAGTAATTAGTGTTATAAGAATAATAACATGGTCCAAAGATCATTGTTTTTTTACACAACCAGAACCTCATGAAAGGTCACTTTAGTTCACAGCCAACCTGACTTCATCAGACATTGTATATGTTACAGATTGATCACCAACTAATGTAGATAGTCTAGAATAATATGGTTGTAAAGCTACATTGTATTCTATTTGTCCTGTTCAGAAATGGCATGAGAACTTCAGCAATTTCCGCCGTGTCATCATGTGTGTAGTGCTGGGGATAGAAGCATTTCATAAAGAACGGTGAGTGTCTGTACAAATCTGGTTGTCTGTCAGCTTACTGGTCACACCACTTACAATACTACTAGGCTGAATAGAAATTAACTAGGTGATGGAAAAATAAGCTTTAAAAGAAAAACAGTCATATTTCTTCGAGTCTAGTGGGAGTAGCAGCATAGGTTTAATTAGTGTAACTAATTTATTTTCGAGTTTGACACAAAATTTTCTTGGCTGTTGCCTAAGGTTGTTGCCAAATTACACTACTTCACATTGTTTTGTGAAACTTATAATCTCAGGATATTAATTGTTGGGCTATAACTGTCTTGGCTGTTAAACTTTAGAGACTTACCTCAAAATGTTCACTTTGTCTTTTGCTCGTGTTAAGCCAGAGCCAAAGAGGGATTGTTTGCAGTCAGTTAATATGTTTATGAAATAAAAGAAAGCTTTATTTGTGCACATCTGACTTTATAAATGTTGTTTTCAGCTACCAGGAGTCGCTGCCATATCTTCACTATGCATATCTGACCAACCGCTCCCTCATAGCGGACGGCAACAGGATGAAAGGCTTTGATAACAAGCTGATGGCCTATTATCAGAGGCAGTGTTTATTGGTGAGATACCTTACTTAGTGAAAGACATACTTCTCTTATCCATATCCATAAATATAACATTTATATCCACATGTATATCCACAAGGGTAATATCCATATCCACATATATATCATCCATATCCCTTTAACACCAGTGAAACATCAGAACACTAATATCTACATGTAGAATGCCAGTATCCACATGTAGAAATCAATATCCACATGTAGAACTGCAGTATCCACATGTATAGCATTTATATCTACATGTAGAACATCAGTATCAGTGTGTAGAACACTAATATCCACATGTAGAACACCAGTATCCACATGTAGAAATCAATATCCACATATAAAACACCAGTATCCATATGTAGAAATCAATATCCACATATAAAACACCAGTATCCATATGTAGCCCTCCTTGTTTCAGCACCTTAATGACATGGCCCTGCAGCAGTTTGAGGCAGATGAGGACATCTCTGGTGTTAGTATCATCATGAACAACCTGGTGCTGCCGTGTCTACCCTCGCTGTTCCACACTTCGTACCAGGATGACACGCTGGCCGCGGAGGAACTGAGGGAGAAGTGGTGCAATATTCTGGCACAGGAAGTGTCAGGTGAGTAAGATTTAAACTTGGTATTAATGTGTCAATTTGAAGTAAATGACTGATATTTCTGAGCTAAAAATTGTGTCCCAAGAAGATAAGTTTTGTTACTATTTCAGCTGATATTGAGGCTATGATTTTTAACCATAAACTACAGCAAGCCAGTCTAATCTCTCCATTCACACCCACTCCTGGCCAGCACTGTTGACATTGAGGCCAGTTTTGCTGGAAGATTTTGCCTCTAGTGTTTAGACATCTTGATCTCGCTCTCTTAGATAGTACATAATGAACTAAGCCATCCCAGGTTTACTTTAAATACAGCTTAGTCAAACTAGTAGGTCAGGTGGTTTCTTTCCAGCCAGCCACCCTTAATGTGACCCTTCTGGTGTGTATATATTCATTTTAATATTTACATTTCCACAATTTTTATCTTGGTACAGGTGACAAATTGGAGAAGTTACAGGACGTGATGTCCAAGCTGTTTGACCCACCCTCAGAGACGAGGACAAGTGTGAAATTCCCACAGCTGAACTACATCAAGGACTCCAGTGAATTCCTGGAACGCTATGCAAAAGTCATGGATCTGGCTGAGAAGAACAGTTACCTTGAGATGGCAGAGAAAAGCAAATGATACTGACGACTAGACAACAGAGCTTTCTCTCTCTCTCTTCCTCTGTGATCTGGACCTCAGCAGGTGCTTACGTCTCTGAGGGTCATTCTCGTCCAACGTGGGATGATGTAAGCTTGCAGCCTCCTCTGCTGCCCCCTAGTGGTTCTTTCCAGCGGTTGTGAAGCATACTAGCTATCTAAGTCATTACCATACCGTCAGCTTTGTAACCTGCTCCATAGCCACAGCTGAGAGACCCAGGAAAGATAGCTTCTCAGTGATCTAGAAGTCTGCCCGGTACCCTGCAGACCATGGATACCGCCATGCAGTGTTGTTTACACCCTGAAAACCATGGGGATACAGATGACTGTTGTGAGGACAACCTTGACAAAAGACAAACCAAAAGACAGTTCTTAGACTAGTTGACAGAGATATAGGGACTGAGATATAAAGATGACCAACAGGGTGTTATCTGTGCCTAGCTACTGCTACGTTGTTGTCGCCTTCCTTGACGTGAAATGACCTTTACCTTCAGTTATATGCTTACCAATTACCACTTCAAAAACTGAATTGAGGCCCTTATTGTGAATTGCTGCAGTCTTTACTGTGATTTGATTCAAGGATGGAAATAGATATTAATATTTTATCTTCTTTAGCCCACTGAGACCCGTGAAGAGGAGTGACTTGGCCTTAAAATGAAAGTTTTTATTCTTCAAGCTGTTTTAAACTAAGTTACCCATAGAATCATAATCCATTGTCATACTGGAGCTTAAGTGACATCGCTGACAATCAAACTTCAGTTCACATGAAGACGGAATTGTGATAAGGCTGAAACGAAGTCACCTCCACATCAGACCTAAGCTCCATTATGAGATGTAATTCTAATTCCATGTTCACCTTGGTCAGTTGTTCTGTCCTTTTTGTGTGGTGCTCCCACCAAGACTTCATACCTAGGATGTGTACAGATGGACAGTCACTTCTTGTTCACCACTCGGCCCTGCGTTATGAAAGCTGGGACTGTATGAGAAGGTTGTATACAGTTTGAGAAGGCTCAAGACTCTGTCTTGTGTTATGAAAGCTGGGACTGTATGAGAAGGTTGTATATAGTTTGAGAAGGCTCAAGACTCTGTCTTGTGTTATGAAAGCTGGGACTGTATGAGAAGGTTGTATACAGTTTGAGAAGGCTCAAGACTCTGTCTTGTGTTATGAAAGCTGGGACTGTATGAGAAGGTTGTATACAGTTTGAGAAGGCTCAAGACTCTGTCTTGTGTTATGAAAGCTGGGACTGTATGAGAAGGTTGTATACAGTTTGAGAAGGCTCAAGACTCTGTCTTGTGTTATGAAAGCTGGGACTGTATGAGAAGGTTGTATACAGTTTGAGAAGGCTCAAGACTCTGTCTTGTGTTATGAAAGCTGGGACTGTATGAGAAGGTTGTATACAGTTTGAGAAGGCTCAAGACTCTGTCTTGTGTTATGAAAGCTGGGACTGTATGAGAAGGTTGTATACAGTTTGAGAAGGCTCAAGACTCTGTCTTGTGTTATGAAAGCTGGGACTGTATGAGAAGGTTGTATACAGTTTGAGAAGGCTCAAGACTCTGTCTTGTGTTATGAAAGCTGGGACTGTATGAGAAGGTTGTATACAGTTTGAGAAGGCTCAAGACTCTGTCTTGTGTTATGAAAGCTGGGACTGTATGAGAAGGTTGTATACAGTTTGAGAAGGCTCAAGACTCTGTCTTGTGTTATGAAAGCTGGGACTGTATGAGAAGGTTGTATACAGTTTGAGAAGGCTCAAGACTCTGTCTTGTGTTATGAAAGCTGGGACTGTATGAGAAGGTTGTATACAGTTTGAGAAGGCTCAAGACTCTGTCTTGTGTTATGAAAGCTGGGACTGTATGAGAAGGTTGTATACAGTTTGAGAAGGCTCAAGTCTTTATCACGTTTGTCCACATTTGACCAAAAGATGACCACCAGATTTGGACAGTTTTGGGATGTTGGCATGGTTTCCTGTAATACCAAGTGCTCTTTAAGTTGATGGATTATTAGTAAGGTCAGCGTCGACTTTTTACTGTAATTATAGAACAATGAAGAGGATTTTCTGTGCAAAACCTGAGAATTTTTTATAATTTTTTTCATAATTTGAAAAAGAAATGCACAAAGTATTGTACAGAGGTGAATGCTGCTCCAATCTTAACACCAAAATGATGTCAACATAAGTAATTATAGCAGGTGTGGTACCAAGATATTGGAAGTGTGGTTGGAAGTATCTTAATGGATAGGAGAATTTCTAAGATGCATGAATACTTTAGGAAACTATTAATTGTACATTTTTTTAAATTTCACACTATATATTTATACTCAGTAAAGCTGCTGTGAAGAGCTTTATGCAGGACCTGTTTTGTAAAGGAATTTAAGACGGAAAATTGGTCTTCAGTCGAAGATAGGGATTTTTGCGTCTGTTTCAGCGTGGGATGAATCCAGAGTAACTAACTTATAAAGAAACTATTTGTCTTTCTATTTATAAAATGATTCATATAAGTGAAACATTGAAGTTTACTACTTCTGACTTGTTTTAGGCCGAAGTGGAGTAAGGTTTTTGACTTAACTTTAGACCAGTTTACTCAACCTGACCTTGTTTTCACTGTCATGTTTATTCAACATTTGCGCCAATTTATCAGTATGTTGACCGTGCTAGCTGCCTTACTAGCCCTGTGGTGCCATTGATCACGTGAGCAGGTGTGAGAGACGCGTAGGCGCAAGATTCCAATACAGTTTCTATAAAGTTTGATTAAATATGTGGAAACGATAAATCTTATCACTTAATTGAAATGGAATCGTGCAGATATTTTTACTTAGCAGAATTCTACATTTTATTTATTTACCTGTGGATTCCCACCACTGTATCTTGAACAGTAAGCAATATTCCGGTAAAATGCTATTGAAATGCATGAACACGTCTAGTCCACTCTTTGTTGACAATAATCTTCACTTAATTCCTAATCTCAGTGAGTTCAAATGCCGGTATGTTGCCGTTCAGAATTATATTTATTTACGGTAGTAACGATATTATGGCGGTTTACGTGTGTGGACGACAGCTATTTTAGCAATCGTCTCTCGCCAACATTGAATTCTAGTGGAGGCGCCTGTACATTTTATAAAGCTGATATTATACCCATGGTTCTTATTGACTATTATAAGTAAAATGTGTTAAGGCAGAGAAATAAAAGTTCACACTGAATGATACTTCGTGTGAATGGTAAACTGTGTTTGTTGATTTTAATTTCAAAATGTGTTCGAGGCAGATAGCCCAGTGAACTTGCAGACAAAAATATGGTTTAATGAAAGGAGCGTTAGTTGGACTTTTAAAGGAAAACAACGGACGTTTTTTTTTTTTTTTTTTTTTTTTTTTGTTAAAGATTTACTTGCTTCATACATAATATCCTTTTAATATGGCGAGATTGTGTTTAGGACGTCCACAGACACACCAGTGTTTCCTCTCGGCTCTTATAATCACTCTTGACACCGTGCACAGGACGAGATATTGTCATTACATCGATCCAGAGAGGTATTTTGTTTCTTTCTCAAAATTAGAAATATTGTCACATGCTGAAGACGCCCTCTATCCACAGTTCCGCCTTCCCAGTGCCGTTACAGCTTTCAAAAGTGACGTCAAACCGGCTGACGTGATATGTGCTGAGAAGTATTTTATTACGGACTAGAAGGAACCGGTTTTGAAGCGGATGTCCAAAGTCTGATAAGGGCACCCCTTTTAGTGGTAAATGGTATTACTAGGTTATCAAATGCATGTTTTAAGTAGATATAAAGTGACGACGTGACAGACGAAATGATATCCCTCCCGTCAGCCGTTTCTTATCCCTAGATGCCGACCCGTCCTGGTTTGGGTATTTGGCAAACTGTCATTTTTGTTTATTTACATATGATACAACACGTCTTCTTGCTTAATCTACGTACAAATATTTGCACTAGATAAGCTGAACTGCAGCAGTATGTGTTGATCTTCATAAAACACAGAGATATCTAGGGGACTGACCTCAAAGACCGTAACTCTGCAAAGATCATTTTTCTTGAATATTTAGTTGAATTAGAGAATATCAAGTATTCAAACTGTCAAAAGAATGTCGACCGTGTATAATAAGATGGCTGGGCAACTGGTAATGGTATTCTTCATCACCAACTGTGTCCTGAATTCAGCCAGCGGTCAGGATTTACAGAGCGTTGCAGCTTGTGACAGGTTGGTACGTAATATATTCAAGGAGAGCCTTGAAGTTTCGACACTTCCAAGGATAGGGATATAGCAAGAAAGAGTCCCAATTAAGTTGTCTTAAACTTTGTGTGATTGTAGAAATGTCAGCGGTAGTGATTCTAACATGTTATCTATCACTGTTCCCTGCCCCCCCCCCCCCACCACCCCCAGGGGGAAACTTAGATCTTTTGGCAATTATCATCACGGGTGTAAGAACTTCAGGCAAGTGCGTTTTCATATATGCAGGCCGGTCTACAACGACAAAACGGGTTTTTCGAAAATGTGCATGCGGTTTTCCATCACCTGAGAAATATGACACAATTGCAACCAGTGGGTATCAGTAGCAAGAAAGTGGACACGAACCGCTGTTATCATCTTTCTAACTGCTTCTTATTATATTCTTATATCTCAGTCAAATTTACTGCGACGGACCCTTACTTGCTGCCATGCAAAATGCGAGAATATATGAAGATTCCAAGACATTTGTTGACTTAAAGATGAAAGCTAGCCAAGGTAGGTGAAACAATAAGCACTTGGGTTTTATGTGACTGATGTATTTCAGCCTTTAGATTTACACTACAGTGTGGTCTTTGTTTTGTGCTCGATATTGCCAGATAGTTGGAATTTGTATGAAAACAACCGTCGACTTTTTTACACCAGAAAAAGTCAGCCCATCACTGGCTATGTAAATAATCCCTTTCGATATGGTTATTGTTGATCTCGATATAACTGCTGCGAATTCTTCTATTGTTTGCAAAGTTAAACAAATCCACAAACAAAAACACGCACACAAACACAATGATAGAATGTACTCACACAAAGACACGAATGTCACAGAATGCCACTTTTGAAACGTCTGTTCGACTACAAGACAAGCAATAGTGCTGACGCTCGTTGGCTTAAAGGTATGCCCTTGATCTTAAAACGCAGTCAACTGCACAGTCTTTACCGTATATATCAGCTACAGCTCAGGCCAGTAAACGACTTTTTTTTGCGGTGTATTTTGAGAAAAATGGCAAATTTGACACTAAAAATGTAAAATTAAATCCTGCAGTGGGCCTGCATACGTTTACAACGCTGAAAGATTTTTCTCTATACCTTCTCTATGTGGCATCATCCGATACAAGATAAATCCCGTCGAAACTGATGCCGTTTTCTTCCCAACTTTTAGAGATCATACTACAGGCCTTTGCTGACCTTGGGAAGAGGAATTTGACCAAGAGGGATGCGGAAGATTTCAGAAATAAGTACTTCGAAGGTCCGAACCTAGAATTCGAAGACTGGACTCCAACTGACTGGAGAGAGAAGTATGATATAGTTTCTTCATTATGACAAGAGTTATCTCCTTCATCTGTGACTTTCAATAAAGCGGCGACCGTTTTCCAAATAAGTATTCTACATACTCGTTATGATATCTATTTTGATATTGATACAAATAAGAGTCTCAAACCGTGGCTTTGGCTCGGGCTCAGTTTATACGCAAGAGTAGGGACCGCAGATGAATGTATTGCAATATATAACTTTTAAACTAAATTGTTGGCTAACCAGGACCAATGGTAATTCAGTATATTCTGCTCAAATGAAGTGTCACCTAGACAGAAAAAAGTTTAGTGCCAGTTGTCACATTATATATATTTTTATACTCTGAATTGAAATATCCGAGTTAGACAGAATTTTGGCTGAAATTTCTGTTGTGGAAATGCCTGTAGAGCTACATGTATGTATGTCTATTCCACCAAATTAACAACATGATAAATAGGGAGAGGGCAGGAGCCAGTTGGAAGTTTAGGTTCAAACTCGAATAACAAGCAATTTTTTTAAATTTCATAGGAAGAAAAAAATAAATATAATACTAGACGTACAGAGTAAAATCCGGTTTAGATTTAATTTACCGGCCCCTTACTGGATAAAGCAGAACATTCACTCTTTTCAAACATCTGTTTCTTCCAGTCCAGCCTTCCTCAGCAAAATCAAAGACAGCAAGTTACGGACCTGGGGTCTCGAGTTGCATAAGCTGTGGAAAGTTCTCGGAAGAAAGGTACCCAGAAGCCACTACCCGAACAAGGGTATAGCCGATGAACGAAGGGCTACCTTGACCTTTGAAACATTTGGAACGTTTGCCATGCTTGGCCAAATTTTAGTGTTCCTATGTAAATAACTTAATTGTCCATTGTGATATAAACAGTTTTTTTTTTTTTTTTGGCGTTTGTTCCTGTGACATAAGTGTACCTTATAGGCCCTACTGATGGGAAATGTTTACAGGGTAGGTAGAAGGACTGGCCAAGATTTCGTTGTCAGCAGTTAGATCTGACACAGGTGGACGTTAACTTTACCTGAAGTCGCAAATCGACAGTTTCACCACAGTATTCAATATAACTCCGGATATATACTGTAAGAACAGAAACATGCTAAGCAATATAGGGCCTTCTGGGGGAATATCCTTAAAGCGCTGTAGCTCTATAGAAAATGAAGATATTCTCTACAGGTAATTGTTGTCAGAACAAACTGTGTTTCAGATCAGTGATGATGTAAGGGTAAACCAGTCCAGATACTCGCTGATTTACGTACCCGAACCCTTTATTATTCCAGGCGGCAGATTCCGGGAATTTTACTACTGGTAGGTTCAGTCATATTCCAGGTGATTCTTTGAGAATAACATAGCCTATAAATATGGTTCTGTTTTTTTCATAGCTTCATCACATTTCAAATAAATACTACGTTCTATATTTAATAGTGTCACAATGTTAACATCTTTTCCTGCGTCTCTTCTCCTCAGGGATTCCTACTGGGTCGTTAAGGGTTTGTTGCTGTCTGAAATGACACGCACTGTGAAGGGGATGATAAAAAACTTTCTCAAGTTCGTTGACGAGTAAGTTTATAGTATCACGGCTGATTGACTTCATGTATGTAAGCTCTATGGCATTTATTTGAATACGTCAACATCATCGATAGGTAGACCATGAAGTCGAATCATTTCAGCTCACGCAGCTTCAATTTATTGTGTTAGGAATTGCAATCGTATTTCTCTGACGCAAGAAGATTACCTATCAATATAAAAAACAGTACAATTTTCTTTCTTAACGTATATTTTTAAGCAGAATTCCACCTGAAGGTAATTTCATTCTTGTCATAAGCACTGTTGAGTTTGTGTTGGATTTGATTACAACGTCTATATCATTACATGTATCAAGCCTCTATTTCTCAGGTACGGTCTAGTCCCCAATGGCGGACGTGTGTACTATACAAGGAGAAGTCAGCCTCCTTTTCTCATTCCCATGATGAAGCTCTACTATGACAAAACGAAAGACCTGGCTTTCATTCGTGAAACAGTGGACAGTCTCGAAAAAGAGTATTATTTCTGGATAAATAACCGCACGGTAGATGTCGCTAGAAACAACCAGACCCACCGTGTAGCGCGCTACGCTGTGGAAATTGGGAAACCTAGGTAATTAGTGGTTTCTCTTGAAACATTTTAAAAAACAATTTCTCTGACATAAACTACAACACTGAATCTTTGATAATATAAAAGTGCACCCCTCTCCCTATTTATTTATTTATTTATTTATTTATTTATTTATTTATTTATTTATTTGGGGGGGGGGGGGTGAAAATATACACGGGCCATTATTATATTTTAAAAATCTCCAGAATCCAACGTTTTTACTTAGTTATACTTTGTTTCACTATCAGACCGGAGTCCTACCGAGAAGATATGGAAACTGCAAGAACCAAGACTGATGCAGGTACGTTGGATTTCAATTTTTTTCCTGAAAAATGATTCATTATACCCTTTTAGTTCACCCAACATAGATAAATTGTGATGCAGAGAAGACATTTTTCGGCCGAAAGAGTGCCCCCTCACGAAACCCCTGCATACAGGCTTGAGACATCTGCAAAACGTGTACGTCCTCAAAAGTACAAAACTGTACACGCACGTTCAGCGTGTTTTATCATTATGTCATGCGTACTTGGGTAACGTCGGGAAAACTGTGTGGTCTATGATGTTGTAACTTATGTTGCTTTGCGAGGGGTGTGCCAGACAATAAAGCTGATTGCATGGACTACGCCTTAGCAAGAATCCCTGCTGAGATAGATCGATCCTTCTAGACCTACAGCTTCTATTCTGAACACAGCCTATGTTATTATACATGTATATACACGCAATGCCAGTGTTGTATCTCTACGTCATTCAGGTTCCAAGGCTGAACTCTACTCTCATATAGCGTCAGCAGCTGAGTCTGGCTGGGACTTCTCTTCACGCTGGATGAGGTCGGGTTCGATGAGTCTTAGTGACCTTCAAACCAAGGATGTTATTCCTGTAGACCTCAACGCCATTCTCTGTTATAACGAACGGATTTTAGCAGAGTTTTATGGGTTGTTAGGTAAGGTTCCCAACCTGTTACACTAAACTATTCACTCTTCCCACTCTATGAATACACATATAAAGATGTGACCATTACTTGCCCGTATTCATTTTTTTAGTGTCATTATTTAAAAAAACATGAATTTCGAAAGTAAATTTATTTTGGAGAAATGATCGGTTGAATCTACGTTGTGTAAACTCATTCTTATCATTTAACTACATGTAGGTGTGTAGAAGCGTGTAGGAATCTCACCCCTTCTGCTTAAAAAAATGCCCCCCCCCCCCCCCCACTCACTGCTGTGTAATCTTTTTTTTATTATAATATGCTGTTCACTACGGGCAGGATATACACACGCCGTTTCTATGTACGAAACCGTGGTTTCAAAGTGGTTTTGATTTAGTTACCAATGAACCAAAACTCCACTAATAAGTGGACAACTTTACTTAGGAAACGCATCCAAGCAAGCAGACTTTTTACACAAAGCGATGACCAGAAGACACGCCATGAACACGCTGTTCTGGGACGATACACAGGGGGCGTGGTTTGACTATGATAGACGTGCCGGTGCTCTGCGAACAACTTTCTACACCTCTAATGTGTTCCCGATGTATTTTGGTTGTTATGGTAACGATGATGGTACAGACAAGGTGACGATGGAGAGAAAAGTACTGCAGTACTTAAAGGTATTCCTGAGTCCTGCTGTGATTCCCAATCAGCTTAAACATGTTGAAGTGCAGTAGCAATGATACTCTTAAAACACACTAATCGATTAAGATGTCTATAAATATAAGTCACAGGGACGGCTTGGAGGGAGGGAACGGCAATATATCACAGTGGCGTTTTTTTCTAAAAGGTGTGTTATAGTAGGTGTCTGCCATTGAGCAACACAAAGCTCTTAATATCATTATTTGCAAACACAGACTGTTAACATATTCCTAAAAAGTAGACATACTCGTTATCTTTATTAAGAGATATATTTTCATATTCCAGAACAAGCACGTGTTGGACATGCCGGGGGGAGTACCGACCTCTCTGATCAACTCCACACAACAGTGGGACTATCCCAACGCCTGGCCGCCATTACAAGATGTCACCATCCAGGCCCTGTCCTCTAGCAGTCTGCAGGAGGCTAAGGATATAGCCAGGAATATCAGTCAGAGGTTTCCCTACCACCCTCTCTGGTTCATTCAGAACAGATGATCCGAGTACTAACTGATCCGCCGACTAAATATGGTCGACCACTCTTCAAAAGAGATGCCGCTGATTCCCGATGGTCTCCCCGCTTCTACACACGCCATTAAACGGATTAAATCCCGGCTCCGAGGTTTAATTGCTAGGTCCCTGCAGAGACGGCGCGTGTAGAGGTGGAGAGACCACCAAGAATCAGCGGCATCTCTTCCGATGTGTGGTCAGCCATATTTTGTCGGAGGGTCAGTTAGTACTCGGATCACCTGTTTTGAATGGGGCCTCTAAGTTACTTATTTGATAAGATTATCGGCAGACACTTAAGGAAAATAAAATCTCTCTCGTTCTCTCTCATTCTCTCTCTCTCTCTCACACACACACACACACACACACACACACACACACACACAAGTAACTGTCAAACTGCATTTGGCTCAGTTGATTCATACGCCAAGCCTAACCAATTTGATGCTAAAAGCCTAACAAATATCACGTTTCCACTTCAGATGGATACTTACCAATTGGCGGACGTGGAGTCAACCAGGACCAGCACAGGGGCACATGTACGAAAAGGTTGGTAGGGCATCGTGGACTATGTTGAATTAGAAACGGCACATATACTTGTTGTCGTAATAAAACCATCTGTTAGATAAAAAGTTGTTAAGTTGTCTGTAGTACATTAAGTCCATTAAGGTAGAAGAATTCATAATTTATTGAGGTTTTGTTTATTAATTCTAATTTAAAATAAAGTTGCGGTAAACCATTCATCAAGAGTACATAAAATAAAAACTATTTAAGATTGTAAGTGTGCCCAGCTCTATAAAAAAACTAAAGATAACAAGGCCTATTTCCTTCCAGTATGACGCCCGTATAGAAGGACTGCCAGGCAGAGGGGGCGAGTATGACGTACAAGTAGGTGGTGTTCACATGACGTCACAGATATAGCCTAATGCAGCCCAATGCAAACGTGCAATAACCTTAAACATATCAACCCGACAAAGTTTTTTGTTTGTTCTTGTTTGTACGGATGCATGCTTATATAGATTTGACATCTGACATATGATTCACTTCTACAACATCAACAAGTGCTCACTTCTTCGTCCAAATCCCCCCCCCCCCCCTGCGTAGGGCGTACAGAGGCAGCTATAAGATCCATCTAACTGACCTCTTCCCTGCGGTCAGTTTGATTGGCGAGTTAAATTTAAATCAAACTTCGCGGACTGTCAAGTCCGATAAAGTTAAATGTTATGGTTTTGCTTCATAGCCTTGTATCCTCAATAAACAAGATTGACCGACTTCACAATTTACGGAAGTGTACAGAGTCTGTATAAATAGACCTTACCAATCTTGACACGATCTCTTATTATGGACATTTGGGTGGTCAATAAACAAGATGGCGCGCATGAGATCTGAAACTTAGGCTATATTTGGCAATGGTTGCATCAAATGTTTCTATCATTCTTGCAGATAGGATTTGGTTGGACGAATGGAGTGGCGATGACGCTGTTGGAGAAGTATGGGGATATCTTACACGCAGACTCAGATGTGACATCCGGTAGCTGGTCGCCTGCAACGTGCATCCGTATTTTGTCACTTGTTGGAATTCTGATTGTAACCGCGAAGTTGACCTTTCACCGCAGCTAATGTGTGGATTGTGGAACAATGTTATATAACTTCCATTTCTCGAGATGAACACTTAACTACAGACTTGACATTTAATATGGAATATTTTTTTCGAAATAATTTTTTATCAGTTTTTTCCTATTTTGCGGACTGATAAATGAAAATAAGGATTAAAATCGTGTTTTAATAACTTTAAATTATCTATTTGATGTCATTGTGACATCAGTTCATTAATGGAATTCGCCAGAGAAACAAACAAAAACACATTGCCTATTCTATGTCATACGACTCCCATTAAAAGAGATATTTTGGATCTCCATATTTTCCAAATTATCGTCCGTAAAAGGGTAATACGCTCCACAAAAGACCCTCATGTCAGTTGCTAGTCACAGTAATGGTCGTTGTTACGCCTGGCCTCTTCGTGGCTGTTACCAGCGCTCTCAAGCGGCAAGGCATTTCTTGAGGGTAGGTTTTTAGAGTTCAATCTGGAATAGCATTCTAGGCATCGGTCTGAAATTGTCCAATCTGGTCCAGTTTTGTTGTAGGACATGTAGGCAGTTGATTGGTGAGTAATGGTCTACCGAAATATTGTCTATGTGGTTCAAATGTGGCGATTTTGATGACCAGGGTAGCTGCTCATCCCCTTGGTTCTGTAAGTTATCTGCTATTAAAAGTGCTCTGTGTGAACCTGCAACCTCATCGTACAACCTAGAATTGTTCCTAAGGTGCCCCCTATCAAATGATAGTCAAGTGGTTCCGAGATCATCCCTTTATTTGATCTGGTTCAGGTTTTCGTCGATGACTACCATTGGTGTTTTGGCACCAATGTGGAATCTACTCCAAATACTGACGCTGTCAATCACCCTTGTCACTTAAGACCCGGCATATGCTTCGTCGTAGGCCTCTTCTGGATATCTGTAAACTCTGTTTTGACTAATTGGGCGTTACAGGTGAAACCTGACCTCAATAAAGAAAGCCACGCAGTTTCAGTGTTCTACCCAGAATCGTTCATGACCCCCAATTCATTAGAGAAACAGACGACGATGTTTTGTTGTATACAGTGGGTACCTCGGAGGTCATTAGGTGTTCTTACCTGCTAAAACCAGTTTGGTGTTCGCTAAGGGCTTTGAAAAACGCATTTTAGTGGCAATTTATCCCTCGTTCTGAAGTGTTTTTTGTTTAGTTGCAGCAGCGTATCCCGAAAGACAGTGGGTCCTGTACCCTGTAGGTAAAATGTTGATACATTGGGGGTCACCTCTGTGTAGGTACATCAGTCTGGGCATTACTCTATAAAACTGTGGGGACCGTTCCGTTTGGCGCTATGATCTGTCTGGTGATGTCTGTCTTTTTCGCGCCATTCTGCCTTAGATTAACAAATTTGTAATGCACTTCTTGACTCATCTTACGCACTGCAAAATTGGCCGCTTGCATGCAAAATTTCAAATTTTTCTATGCAGTAGTTGCTGAAATATGGATACTTTTTTGACAGAACCAAGCTTTGCCTAAGCCAAGCTTTGATCAGCCCAAAGGAACACTATCCAATTAAATCACTTCAAATTACACAGTGTAGCAGCGCAACATGCATGAAAGTCAGTTAATTGGTAGTGACACACATGACTGCATACTTTTACATTCACAAATCTTATATGAAATCGGAGTTTTTTTTAAAAAAGAACGTATTTTTACCTAGGTATACCTTCGAAACTGAAATATTCCATATTAAATGTCAAGTCTGTATTTGGACTGGTAATAACCTTAAATTACGTTGCAGGAGGGACTCCCTCCCAGTAATTGAATCAATTTATGCGGCCGTCCCGGGGGTGGGGGCTCCGATAAGGTGACATTTCTACGTCATAACCAGGCTATTAAGATGTCAATCACTAAAATGGCACGTAACAGAAAAGTGTACCTCACGATATGGAAAGGACTTGAGGACTTGAGTGCGTCATAGCTACGAGCCATAGGGCCTATGTGTTACTAATGCTAGTTTTTGTTGATTCCTTCGCCTTTTTAATTTTTCACAAGTAAGTGTGATATGTTCACCCCACCCAAGGTGTGTTTACTTTGGCTGTGAGTAAAGATCGGGATCATCGGTTTTAGATAACATGGATGATTTGAGAAAGTGACTGCCCGGACTTACTCAAGGATATATACTGTTGATCTTCTACGTGGAAAACTGTAATTTTTGTCAGTATTGGTCTTGCTCTGATGAACAAGTTTACAAACGAACACACATGCTTCGCGCTTGAAACTTTATTTGCCATTGAGGTCGTAGTTGTAACTGGGTACATATAACTGTGTTACATTTTGTAAATCATGTTACTGGTTGTAACGTGGGAACTGAATACATGTAACTTTTATTTTTAATAAAATTCAATTTTGGTTGATATATTGTCGAGTACCAAGTGATCTGATCAATGAAGTCTTAATGTTCATTTACCGACGACGGGGGAAAGTAAGCATCTCTCTCCCGTTTATCTTACTGGTTTCCTGATCAAAGTCGTACAGCCCGTAACTCTGTCCTTCTCCATAGATGTCGCTGTAGACTCGCAGGCCTGACACGTAAAAATGGCCGCCTGCATAGGAATTGGGATCTTGTGTCTCGTAGTGAATCAGAACCATGTCCTTGGTCCCATATTCCAGTCCAGTCTGAATATATAAATCCATGTACTAGTATATGAGGCAGCTTCTTCTTTTTCGACAAGAATGTCATAAGAATTAATACAAAAACACTAAATAATAATGATATTAAAACATAAATGTATGGGCCCTCCAGCAATAAAAGACATAAACATATAGATTGTGACAGCGCCACAACTTTGTGAATTCTAATTTTGAACAGCGCCACTGTCCTGTAACAGTTTTGAATTCTGTATATATCACATGTACGTCTTACCAGTGACTGGTATTCTCCATACAAAATGTGTCCTCCTGCTCCCACAGTGCCGGTGTACCTAGAACTGTTGATGGAGGTTTCTTTCATAATCTCTAGAGCCCAGCCGTAATCGTAGAGAGCCGCACGTTTATAAAACCGGCTTTTGTGGCCGTCAGTTTCTGAGTAACAATTAGAATAAACCACCAAAACTTGGTATGAAACAAAGACATGTTAGTGCACCCGCAAGGTGTGTCGAATCTTTAATCTACAGATCTGCTGGAATAAACTAAGCATAATACTAAAAGAAGCAAGGGGGCAATTAGTTTTCTGAGTGACAAATTGTAACAGATAATTGCAGTGAAATGAAGACATGTGACAGGCATACCTTAACCCTGTGGTGAACTTTGACAGTATAGAACTGCTACAATTAAATAAGTTATATATATGCTATGTATAAAATGCTATGTTGTATTTTCTACCCATCATTATCCTGAACTTGGTTTCCGTGTGCAGACAAAAGGGGTGGAACAGTAGGTTGCTGCCCTCCAAGGTCACTCGCCCGTCCAGAAGGTCAAGGTCAGTAATGGTGGACATATCAAACCCATACTCTGTAAAGTATTGGAGAGCTTTCTTGCCTTCTTCTATGATACTCTGGTTGCTGTAAAAATGACATCTACATTTGTCAACATTGTACGTATTCTTTGTCGGACACCACAGCTGCTGCATGAGCATTTATTGTCAAATATTTTGTCAACGTTGTTCGTGTTTTTTCGAACACCAACCAATATTGATATCTAAGACCAAAGTGGCACTTTACTGAATTCCACACAAGTCATTTGAAATTTATAAGCGGTTCTGAAAAGATATTGGTTTAACATTAAAAAATAAGCCGTAAATTAAGCTCCATTTGATAAATTTCGGTCTAAAACCTGAAAATACTATGAAAAAATAAAATTGATGTGCTGGCAGCAATGGAATAAATGATGACAAAACAACGCAAAAATACAGAAAAACACTCATCCACTTCAAGCAGTATTTCCTAGAAAACAGATTGATTTTCAATCCTATGCCGGTTGACAGAAGGGAAAAAAGCGGGCATGTTTAAGTTTTTCTAAAAATGAACATGCAGGTTTCATTCAGAGTAAATTTCACCCTGATAAGAATTATTCACTGTAAGGTGTTTTTATCATTGAGTCAAAATTAATTATATTTTGGTTGAATGCTGTATGTGGAAACTACCACACAATTCCAATATGGTGGATGTCAATCAACAATTGTTGAAAGAAAGTTTTGTGATCATATTTGCAGCATACATTATTTTCTAATGCAGGGCTCTGCTAAAGTGAAATATACTATTACTGCATACGATGCATACTTTGCAACCTTTCATTAAAAATTATTCATGAGCATTTAAATTATTTCAATTAATTTCAGTTAATTTTTTTTTCTCTTTTTAGGGGGAAGGGCCATTTAAGATCTTTTAAAATAAGGATATGGCATTCTTCTTTAATATAACCACAGGCCACATAGGCACATACAAGACTTAATTAACACACCAAAAAATACGAATTTTCCCTCTCACTACCCGGCTATAGCAAGTACTTACTCCACTCTTCCAGCACATTTTTGGTGGTGTGAAAACTGTTCAAAATCCTGGTAAATGCCATTAAATATCCCATCCATGACGAAGATAAACGTGTGATCGTATACCCCCAGCTCTGGGCCATCAATGCTACATTGGTTAGTGTTATGTCGGTGAAGCCAATCAAAGTGGTTGGCATCCACAGCAGGGGCGCTCAAAACTACCAACACGAGGCATACGCTTCTGAAGCTAAACATTGAAAAAATGTAATTATGTACGCGGATATTCCCGTAAGCCTTAATGTTGTAAAATAAAAGTAGATGTTTGCAGATTTTCTGCGAAATGCTTACTTGTAGAGACAAAATATTGCAAAACGTAAAATACTACATTCACAATTTAAAAAATCGGAAACATTTGTGAATGACGAAAACAAGGTTGCATCCAGTACTTACTGTGGCATCTTTTCAGTCGAGTATACTGTTGGTGACTCTTGCTGATTGTTAATGTTCCGCGCTCGCTTTCTACGTCGCGTGTCTCCTTGTGAATGACTGCAGCAACATATATACACCTGCAATAAAGCGACACGTGGTCTATTTCTACTGCTATATCTATTTTATGGGCTTGCGCATGTGCAACGATTTCCGTTGACATATAATAACCTTGTGGAAAGTTGGTTTGAGCAAAAAGATGATGCTTATCCACTAATTGGATGCTCCAAGATGCAATGGCATTTTTTCTGGATACAACGAGACTTTCATTAGTAATGATTTTAATGATGATCTTACATTCATTTTAATCACTGTTATTTTAAGTTGTGTTTATCAAATAAAAATTAAAATGTTGAGGTGACAGAGGCCCTGTTCACAACCAAACCAAGCGAAATCAAAGTGGTCGACCCACTTGAAAGCTTGCCGCTTAATCCCCGCGGGGAATTTATTCAGTGTCTCTTAGGAGGATCACGCGGCAAAGCTTTCAAGTGGATCGACCATATTTGATCCGTTAGTCAACAGGTTGTGAATGTAGGCAGAGACAGCACGGGTTTTGCTGGGGGGTGGGGGGGTAGGGGTGGGGGGAGAAATTAGGGGTGGCTCGGGAGGCGGGCACGATGATAAAGGTATTTATGCCTTTCTCGAAAAATTAGAGAAAAAAGAAAACAGGAGACGAGTATAATTCTCAAAGAGGTTGTCATACCCTAGAAATATGCGTTTCTCAATTAAACTGATATTTTGGCTTTGTGTACGGGAAAACATTTATATTGTCTTCCACTTTACCTGTGGGCACTGACCTTTGGTCATAAAGTCCCCTTAACCAACAATAACCAGGATCAAATTTGAGCACTTGTTATAGTAAAGGCTCCAAAATGAATGTAATGTAGGGGCATGAAGTCAACTATTGGTTTGTATGGCTATAAATGTATGTTCTGTTCCACATAATGAGCCTAATATCCGTGGTTTGAACAAAGAAGAGACACATCACCAACAAATCGGCAGGAATCGACAGAGGTCTCGACCCAAAAAATGCACTAAAATCCTCCAACACATATTTAGGAACTTGTGAACAGCATGCTCCACTAACGTTGTTGATCCTGCAAATATATATTTTAAATAAATGTATGTAAAACTTTGACATGTTTTCTCATTACCATTTTTGTTGTTATTTTTTACTTAAGCTTTTATTTCCTTTAACACATTACATCTACCTTTGAATTTTGATAAGAACATAATCTCATATTTATGTCTTCTCGTTGTAAGTTGTATCGTGCTTAGTGGTAAATGAATATTGATCATGGGTTGGTGAAATGTTGTAAAGAAGTTTTCAGCTCTGCACTTGCTGTATGTCTATGGTTTTATTTGAAATATCGATTTTCTCAAAAGGATATACATTTTGATCATCAAAAATGCCAGACCTTCAATTTGATTTGTTCACAAACGAGGGCACCAGGGCCGTAGCCTGAGCAAAATGCCAGGGGGGGCAGTAAGCGGACACGAGGGGGCGAAGACCCCGAGTGGGGAGGGGATGTCCCCCTACCAGTGTGGAAAATTCTAAATCCCAGGGGGGGCAGCTGCCCCCCTGCCCCCCCGGAGGCTACGGCCCTGGACACGCCCACAAAGATGACGTACTTACCGAGGACACGCCCACTAGTAGAGCCACTGCGCTGATCACATGTTTATGTCATCTCGTTGGAAGTTGTATCGTGCCCAATGGTGAATGAATATTGATCATGGGTTGGTGAAATGTTGTGAAGAAGTTCTCTGGTCTACACTTACTGTACGTCTATGATTTTATTTGAAATATCGATTTTCTCAAAAGGATATACATTTTTGATCAACTAGAATGACAGACCTTCATTTTGATTTGTGTTTGTTTACAAATGATCACATCACAGCATAGGCCAAAACTGAATTGTGGCACCATATATTTTGACAAGCACTTGTTTGTTTAATTTAACATGGTTTTAGTAAAAGCTTTCTCGCCAGAACCAGCAATACCAGGAATGACAGTAAGTGAAATTGGTTAAATTATAGATGAGAAGCGTTGAGAAGGTTTTTTTTATCTCCCGTAAATGATATATATTTGTAGATGGTGCGTTGTGTGTTTCTAATTTGACATAATGCTGATTTGCACTGGTAATAGTGTAGAACATTTCCCTATACCTGACAAAAACATCCAATTTTCATAAAATCATCTGTTTGAAATGATGAAGCTGGCAAAAGTGAAGTCAATCGAAACTGCAATGCGCACACAATAATGATACGTTTAAATTGCAATAGAAGTAAATGAATTAATTTGTACTAAATGCCGTATAAATTTTTTATTTTTGCCAATGGCAGAGTAGAGATTAAAGCGGCGGTTCAAATAGCAATGATATAAATGTCACAAAAAACGAACGTTTCAGATGAAATGTTTACTGAGGACGTAATGTGAACCCAACCAAAACACTAATGATTTGAAATATTCAATGGCATCAACCCAAACACACACCTTTGTAGTGCATGGTGCCTGTATCTGTGGGTCCATCAAGTCAAAAGTGTTTACGTCTCGGAACATTTCCTGCGTGGAGGAAATTAACACCCATTGGATAATGATATTTGAAAAAACATAAATGAACCCTCTTCTCTACATATATGATTGTCAGCAATTTGATGACGTCATGGCACCTTTTTTAAACAAGCTTACAGACTGCAGGCCCCAGTTACACTGCTCCTGATAGGGTTAGACTTGTCCATGTGACCATGTCACCTTGGTAATTAAGTTCTTAGCCAGGAGACCTGACTTAATTTTTTTGTGAAACAGGGGCCAGGATAGATGTTAAATGCATGCTGGGAACATAGCTCACGTATAAGGTACTGAAATATTCAAAGAGAGGACGGATAAGAATTTGAAGATGGCAACTGCGATAAATGTGTTGGTTTTTTTGTTAGAATTTGCTCTACTTATATGGTTTGGCTCATCGGATTCTTCAGGTTTATGGTTTCGGGTTCAACCGCAGTCGAGATTTACAGCAGATTTTATTTTTCAAACGACATATTCTGTTTCTGAAAAACACTGTACATTGCGTTGCCTAGAACACGGCGATTGTCGAGCTGCATATTACTGCGGTAACACAAACACTTGTGCCCTGTCTTGTTCTGAAGTTCCGGATGGATTTCTGTTGAGTGACCCAAACTGTTCTTATCTGGAGGCACGCAATCGCACGCCATCTTGTCTGGTAAGTCATTTTATATTCTATCAGTAAAAAAGACCCTGATAAAAACCAAAAGTTGAATTTTATCTGTATTAAATCTACATGTATAGATGGGATTTATAATTAGAATGGGTGGCATATGAACATCGAGTATTGAAATATCTTTTAAAACGCTTCTCACGAATGTATTAAAATGTTAGTTCCGATATTTTTAACATTGTTGGTACAAAAAGAAACAGAACATACTTAGTATGTGCAAAGGTCAACTGTCTCACAGGTTGCTAAAATAGAAAACGTGAAAAAGAACGAAAGACATCGAAGTACAAAATGGCTTAATTATGTGATGTCGGTGGGAAAATATGATGTTACAATATGAACAGGAGAGGTTTAAAGTGTACATGTCTTTTCCAGGATTGTCACGCCAAATCGAATTTTGCTCGACAAAATAAAAATCATATTCCTCGTACTCATATTGGCTGATCCAACTGTGCACGTAAATCCATGCTTTATCCCAATTTAAATGTATTGCTGGCGGTTTAAATGACCGACCATAAAGATGCATTATAGTTGTTAGCCCAGTGTACACATTTATTTCGTTTAAAGCAAAAAAAAAAAAAAAAAAAAAAAGCAAAAATTGTTTTGATAGTTTCTTAAAATAATTTTACAGAAAATGTGAAGCAAATGTGAATTTATCTGGTCTCTGGGTTTATCTTTTTAGTCATTATCGTCCCTGTTGGAATGATCTCGCTATGTTAACCATGGTATCAAGCATTTAGATTCAAGCATTCTGATCATGAGGAAGATGACAGTTAAGACGGATGGCTTACCATTGCATTTAAGCTCTTAATCTTCAAGTGTGTAAGAGACGCATGGTAGCATTATTGACACTTGTGTCCAAGAAAATCACGAACGTTTTGCTCCTAATTGAAAACATGACACCAAATGCAGCACAACCCACCAATTTATTCAAAACACTATTGAATTACTTGAAATTTTTTTGCGAAATTTGTTTCAGTTTTAATCAGGTGTTAAAGCAGGAATTATCGTTTAACATAAGTTTAAGCTAGAGAACCAGAGAACTAGAGAAAGAGCAGCACGAAAATGTTAATTTTTACTGATTTATAGACCCGTCACCTACGTCTCAACAGTACCACGAGTTGAAAAGTCTACAGAAAGGAGATTTTATTACGACACTTGATGTTTCTAGCATAAAAATTCTATTAAAATTGTTGTCAAATATCTTTCAAATCTCGTTGCAATGTTTTAGAAAAGGTGTTTTGACTAAATGTTTTCAGAATATTATTCAATTGTCAAAGGTACGACATTTTGGCCAAGACATAAGTAAATTTGATAAAACGTTTTCATAATGTAAATAAAATATAAAGAACACTTTTTGAAAATCTTCTCTTAATATTTGTGTGTTGTGTTACAGAAACACCAGAAAAAAGAAACATAAAATTAATATTTGTTAAGACAGATATTGGTGGTTAAAATATCTGGTCACTAAAAACTGCAGTCCAAAAACCCCAACGCTCGAATTAAGTGACTTTGTGTATTTTAGAAGAAAGTGATTTATTTTCTGACCTAGTCTTCTTCTGCTCAAGTTTGCATCGCTCTCGGTTTCTTTTGTGAGTCAAAAACACAATTTTTACCTGTAATAGGAATAAATCTTCCCACAAATCCGAGATATGGTTTATTTATTAGCGGTCGATGAGACTATTATCTTGCAGACAGGGTAGGTCACAATGGTTTGGTTTTGAAATAGTTAATTGCAATTATGGTCAAATTTCCATACGGAGGTAAGTCTTGTGTAATGTTTTTTATGTGTCCCGTTTCTTTGAAACAAACTAAAGGTTTTAAATAGGTCTGTACTTCAGCAAAACGCTCGATGTTCGAACAATTTTAGATCCGGGGTGTTTCCATTTATGAAACAAGTTTCAATAATGTGGATGATTAGAGCAAATGTAGTTGTTGGTATTGGATCTAAGCTACACGTTGTCTTTTGTTTTGATTTATTGATAATATTTATCATTTCATCAGCAGTTGCCATAGAAAAACTAGTGATGGTGATTGTGGCTCCGTGAGAAAACCTGTTTTTTTCCCAGATAATTGAGTTCAGCATAACTATCACTAATTTTAAATGTGAAAAAGTCACTCATGCTATCTGCAAAATCCTTCAAAGATTCTGCTGCAGGAAGTGTGGCACACATTTTCTTAGGAATATATTTTTTGTTTAAATTATGAATTATGAAATTATTAAATTATGAATTACAGATGCGAGTCTTTGAGAAATTTCGTTTTCTATCCATCCATCTCAGGTATCTCAGGTTTAGTACAGTTTTCTAGTCAGAAAGATCATGCCTTCTCTAAAAATTATAAAAAAAAAAAAAAAAAAAACAGGAAACGAGTACAATTTAATTGTAATACAATATAACTCAAAGAGGATGTCATATCCTAGAAGAATGTTTATTTTAATTAAACTGATATTTTGGCTGTAAAGACGGGAATACATGATTATTTTTTGCCGCTTTGCTTGTGCGCAGTGACCTTTGACATTACCAGGGTCGAATGTGAGCACTTGTTAAAAGTTAAGGCTCCAAAGTAAAGGTAAGGATGTTAGTGAGATGTTGCTTTGTGAGGCTATAAGTATATGTTCTGTTCCTAATATAAAACAGGTCCATATATAAAGGGGACACTAAATCTGAAAATTGTGGCCTTCTGCCGCTAAACTATATTGAGCCGTTGTGGAACTAACTGTCACCACTTTGGGCCGAGGAAGCAGACTTCAATATTACAGATATTGTCCGGAGTTTTTTTTTTATTAAACATGATAGACAAAGAAAGAGAACAATGCACAATGTAAAGAGGGGACACTGAGGTGATAGTCATGTCTATAATCAATGAAGGAAATGAAGGGCAGTAGAACGTATATAAGTAGCCAACGGCGCTTAACCTAAGCTAATTTTCTCTTAACTTGATGGTGCACTTAATCAAAGTAAAACACGATTATAATTATTTATAAAAGAGTAGAACTACAAGCACAGTTTCAATCTTCCATACCTGAAAGCCTTAAATGCTGTCACATGGCTACCTTTTAAATATCAGAAAACAGTCTAAATGAAATCATCAAAAACCGCTGACCAATATAGCAAAATCTTCAGGTTTGAAACATCTGTACGTAATGTCTCTTTCTGTTATAAAAACAGGCTTGGTACACAACAGCATCTTGTAAATAAATCGGTACCATTCTCTCAAAAACAGATCCAGAACAACAATACGACAACACAGCCCTTTTCCACCTGAATGCATCCAACAGACCCACATTCTGCTTATGGAACAACCTTCTAAAACCCAGATACAACCACCCCTAGACCATATCTGAGACCAATCTGGGAAGTAGTTCAAGGAAGAGACCCATCACTAACAATCGGCAGGAATCTACAGCGGCCTTGACCCAAAATGGGCAAGAATCCTCCAGAGTGTTTTTTGGAAGGGGGGGGGGTGCTTGTGGACCACATGCTTAAACACGTTGCGGACCCTCTCCGTGCCAGTTGGAGTCACACACTCTATAAACGTTGTTGGTTGTACACATATAATTTGAAATAAATAAATAAATGAATGTAAATGTTGATATTTATTCTGAACTTTATTTTTATTCTTTTTCATCAGCTATTAAACACACATTTCAACACATTGCATCTTCCTTTGAAATTTTGACTAGGACATGATCACAGTAGTATCGTGCTAAGTGGTAAATGAATATTGATCAAGGGTTGGTGAAATGTTGAAACGAAATTTCCTGCTCTACACTTGCTATATGTCTATGATTTTTCTTTGAAATATCGATTTTCTCAAAAGCATATACATTTTTGATAAAAAAAATGCCAGACCTTTTTTTTGATTTGTGTTTGTTCACAAACGATCACATCACAGCATAGGCCAAAACTGAATTGTGGCACCATGTATTTTGACAAGTACTTGTTTGTTTAATTTAACATGGTTTTAGTAAAAGCTATCTCATCAAAGCTAGCAATACCAGGAATGACAGTAAGTGAAATTGGTTGAATTATGGATGAGAGCCGTTGAGAAGGTTTGTTTTTTGATCGCCGGTAAATGCTGTGTATGTTTAGATGATGCGTTTTGTGTATCTTATGTGACATAATGCTAATGTGCACTGGTAATAGTGTGTAACACTTCCCTGTACCTGGCAAATTGGTTGAATTATAGATGAGAGCCGTTGAGAAGGTTTGTTATTGATCGCCCTTAGATGATGTGTATGTTTAGATGGTGCGTCGTGTGTATCTAATTTGACATAATGCTAATTTGCACTGGTAATAGTGTGTAACACTTCCCTGTACCTGACAAAAACATCCAATTTTTATACTGCCTTCTGTTTGAAATGATGAAACTGATGAAAGTTAAGTCAATCAATCAAAACTGCAATGAACTCATTAAGATGCGTTTAAATTGCAATAGAAGTAAAAAGATTAAATTTTACTGAGTGCCGTATATATTTTTAATATTTGTCGATGCCAAAGTACATATTAAGGCGGCGTATCATGTCCGTGTCTGTGTTATCCAAAGTAGTTGAAGACTCAAATCAAGATGTATACCTATTATTGTGTCAGTGTTTGCTTTTCAACCAAAATTATATTCAAATACACAAAAAAATATTGTCTAGCTATGACCAGTGAAATCTATTTGTGTAACATAATAGGATATGATGTGTGTTTATGTGTGTGTGTGTGTGTGTGTGTGTGTGTGTGTGTGTACAACAAAAATAGCGTTAATTGAATTATCTCCTTTTTGTACACATTTTACATTATCCCTGAATAAAAATTATTACAAAAGGCCGCGTTTCAAAAAGCAATGACATAAATGTCACAAAAAGCGAATGTTTCAGATGAAATGTTTACTGAGGACGTAGTATGACGTCAACCAAAATACACAATGGTTTGGGTTTGAAATAGTTAATTGCAATTATGGTCAAATTTCCATACGGAGGTACGTCTTGTGTAATGTTATTTTATGTGTCCTGTTTCTTTGAAACAAACTAAAGGTTTGAAATAGGTCTGTACTTCAGCAAAACGCAATGTTCGAACAATTTTAGATCCGGGGTGTTTCCATTTATGAAACAAGTTTCAATAATGTGGGTGATTAGAGCAAATGTAGTTGTTGGTATTGGATCTAAGCTACACGTTGTCTTTCGTTTTGATTTATTGATAATATTTATCATTTCATCAGCAGTTGCCATGGGAAAAACTAGTGATGGTGATTGTGGCTCTGTGAGAAAACCTGGCGTTGAGAGATGTGATGAGAATGTGATATTTTTGTTTCCAGATAATTGAGTTTAGCATAAATATCACTGATTTTAAATGTGAAAAAGTCGCTCATGGTATCGGCAAAATCCTTTAAAGATTCTGCTGCAAGAAGTGTGGCACACATTTTCTTAGCAAAATTTATTTTGTTGATGCCACAAGCAATACCATAACTATTATCAAGTCGGATCTGTTGAATTACAGATTAATCGTTTAGTACTGCTGAGGACGCCGTGTGAAGCCAACCAATACTAAAGATTTAAAACATTAGCAAACCAACTGTCTGCCTTTGTAGAACAATGTTTCCATATCTTTGGTTTCACCATGACATAAATAATGCACTGTTTACTCTTAATGCGTAAACTTTATGGTCCATACTATTATATTAGAAGAACTGAGTACAATATAGGCCTACGTTAAGATTTTTTAAAACCCTATTCATTTAAAATGCGGAAATAAAAAATCGTCATATGCTATACATAATGCTGTTACATGTACATCAAAAGACACCTAAATGAATAAGGTAATTCCAGCACTTTTTTTCGGGAGGGGGGGGGGGGGTTGAAAACTGTTATCGCGATTTCGAACAATTTGTTAGTCACATAAAATTGTGTTTCAGACATAAGTGCGACAACAATAATACGTGCTACAAGGTGCTGTCTAAAAGGTATACTAATTTGCATGGCATAATCAATAAAAAGGTGAAATAATACCTTTATTTAATGAAGCATAATTTGTGATTGTAAGTAGCTCTTTTTACTGGACTACATAGTTTGTCGAGTCGATTCAAATTAGAATTCAAATGAAAATGTTATTAAGGAAATCAATGTACCATCAAATGGCGAAATGCAATTAATATTTTATAAGATAACGAATAACGCGTAAGAATGAGGGGCGAGTATGTGAGAGTGAATGATACCATGTCTATTATTTCATTTGTGTACAGAGTGTAAAGAAATAATAAAAAATACAAATACTGACATTGTAACAAAACTTCTACAGGAAGAACCACGGCATTGCTTGTTTACTGTATTATTTTCAGGAATGTGGATGTAAAAATGGCGGGACTTGTGTCCAAATAACTGAGGGGTCTAGTCAATGTACCTGTCCTGTCCTTCACGGCGGATTATACTGTGAACGTAACCGCAATTTATGTTTAGAAACACACTGGCTGTGTTCAAAATATATATTGTATTTCAAGTTCTTGCTTTTAAAAACTTAAGGTTTAATATCCCAGCTAGCGTTTATAAAATTAGGCCACGTTATCATCATTACTTGCTTACTTGCTTAACAAAGAAAAATAGAACAGCTTTCTGCTGGATTTATTAGTACAGATATCAATATTCTTATTTTTGCACCAAGAATATAATCTAGTAATAACGTATGGTGTTTACCAATTTACAAATACAGTAGAAATATAGCAAATGTTTTCATTACCCTTGACTAGTGACGTGCCCACCGCAGTTTGAGGTTATGTACAAGAGGAGTTGCTACAGCTTCAATATGACACTGACGGCCAACTTCTACCAAGCCAAACAACACTGTGAGTCAATGGGAGCGAGCCTAGTCGCCGTGAACGACGAAGAGGAACACAATTTTATTAGACAGTATCTTGCCGCCGATAACGGTAAGGAAATTTTTTGATATGACATCACCTAACGTCAGTATACGAGTGTTTTACGGTGATATATAACACAATAGCAATCGTGTGCATGTGCAAACTACATGTACAACACGTCAGTGTTGCTGTTAGCTTTGTATATTATTATCAACTTGAACAATGTCAATAATGGAATTTCAGCACGCATGGGAGCAGACTGGTGGACCTCAGCAACCGATGAAGCCTCCGAGGGTACCTGGGTATTGTCTGGATGGGGCGACATTCCAGCACCGTTTACTGCATGGGGCCCAGGTACACACCACGCTTAGTTTCCATTTCATTTGTATAACATTTTTGTTATAACAACCTCGTATTTAAATATATGAATGAGATTTATCTGAAATATTTTCAAGACAATCATATATACCTGTGTTGTAATGTTTCGCCAAACTAATGAGCCCCAAAATAGAAATGTCGGTAAAGCCATGATGCCTCGGAGAAAATGCCATATTTGAACTACAAATTGCAAATTATCATTATTGATGTCAGTTTCTTGATGGAATAATGACTAATCATTAGTTTTATTTGATGAGGCTTTCAGACATGGGCACTCATATGAACTGACTGATGCTAATCCTATTCGCATAATGAAATAACACACTAATTTCCCCACCAGTAACAAGGTTATTATTCTCATGTTAGGTGAACCAAATGGCGGCGACGGCGGGGACTGTGTACAATACTGGAAAAGGCTTTTTGATGACACGCATTGCACTTATATTAAAAACTTTATATGTGAAACGGAGGCGACTTAGACAGCGACACATATTGGAATTATCTACAGTATAACATCCGTGTGACAAGGCGCCAATATGAACACCAAAATATTTCTGGGTCGCATTTTATTCATACCTTATGTATACAGAAACTGTATGGAAAGTAAACTGCACTTCTTGATGTCTATGGTTTGTTGACTTCTGCTAACATATGGGCTGTCTGTAAGAGTAAACAAAACGTCCACATATATGAATAACTACATAAGTTCCTACGTAGAACGGAGGTACGGTGACAGCTTACCGCAACCACATCGTACTGTTCACGTTTATATACTTTGTATATTCCTAGTTGCCATGGTTATCTGTAATATGTCACACTGTCACTTGTCAATATTAGTGACCGGTACATATTTCACACGCCAGAGTAGACGAATGGCCTAATTTTGTCGATAAAAACTCCCTAGAAAAGACTCTGGGGTATTCTTTGTGAAAGTGCCTTGAGTAAAACGTGAATTTGATTAGTTGTAGAGAAAATATGGAAAAGCACCATATTCAGAGGGCAGCTTAATTGGATCAAGTTTTTCGCTGCCAACATATTATATGCATGAGGATATTTTTGTTATGTTGTATTTGTCAATACAGCTAATGGGATCAACGGATTATTCTTCCTGCTGTCAACACCAGTTGTGTCCCGAGTGTTTTTAATTTACACTTTATCTAGTATAGGATGTTGTTGGCTATCGTCTATGACTACTGGATCCTGTTCAGGCACCGGATCCTGTTCAGGCACCGGATGGTATGTTTTCTCCTGTTTGGATGTTCTTAAATTTTTCTCGGCTAGCTGTATATCGTCTCTCTGAAATATGTTATGTACAGATCATGACTGTTATGATATAACTTTTGATCGTATAAAAGGGCGTTTCCTTTAGTATTCAACTTCGATTTCGCTGAATGGAACTTATTTATAAAAAAGGAAAATGTGTTTACAGTAATTTGTTGTACTTCAGTTTCAAAAGGTGTCATAATCTATCGTGGAATTATGCCTAGTTTTTCATATCGCTCATTAAAATTTTCAACATTTGTTATTTTTCAACTTGAAACGTTTTTAATGTAGTTGATGAGTCGTTTAAATTAAAGAGAACACGGAAGAAATAATAATAACGATGATAACGCACCTTTTTCTTATCTCTGGGAACTTCTTTGAAGTAGTAGCTAACACACAGTATACAGTATATCTGAAATGTAAGAAACATAAGTTTATCTCCAGGATAATGTATGTAAAATATCCATGTACATGTAAGTCCTGTACAGTGCATACGTTACATGTAGTAAGTACAATAAAGGTGTTATACATGTAGTAATAAACAAATGTGTAATAATATGGTCGTGACCTGAGAGAGAGAGAGAGAGAGACAGAGAGAGAGAGAGGGAGAGATTAACTGTTTGGTATACACTCCAAGGAAAGTGGTTCTTTATCAACATGGATATTATCTATTATGCGAAGACTACATTTTCCACTGGCGCCGCTTGATGAGATAGTATACAATTTTTCCGTATGAATTTTTTTAGCATTAACATTTTAAAGGGATAATAACTCTTCGTTTCGGCCAAAAAATTAATTTTCCTGGAGTAAACAACAATTTTCCCATACTAACCAATGGTTAATGAATCCATTTTTACATTCAAAGTTAGTCCCTGTTTTTTTTATAAAAAGTTTGTTTTTTTGTGAAAATCTCTTAAGAGATTTTAACAGAGTATAGCCATCAATGGAGGTCACGTGGTCTATAGACAAGCTCAGATATCAGAATAATAGCTATAACTGCCTTTTTTTGTGGTAAAACAGAATATATTATATTTCTATGAGTTATTGACAATGTTTTTATTGTGAAATATAGATCTCATACGAAGAGTTATTATCCCTTTAAGTAGCTTCGGACTGCTGCGAGTAAGTGTACAATACATGCGGGTGCCGTGTCATTTCTCCGCTATGACCTTGAGGTCACGCGGGAATAAATCGGGTTTCTAGTTGAAAAGTGATTTTAGGGAGCCTTTTCAGTCTCAGTGCAGTTGCCGTAGGCCTTCCTTGCGGCTTCCTTGATGATCGATACGTTGTTGGTGCAGCTCCCAACGATTTTATCACCCATGCTGTCGGATGAAGGATGAAGGAAAATATCGTTGTGCCTTCTTATCCACCAAAGAAGAAAGAAAATAGCAACAAGAGGTTTAACCATTATTACGATCACCACAAATCCACCGAACGTTGTCCGGGCGGCAACTGTACAATGCCATCTGCGGCATATAGACTTACGATTTCAAAAATTTGGCAAAGTTTTAGCTTGACAATATTTCAGAGGCCAGCAATCTGTATGATTGTGTGCCATTTTGGACGGCACCGCTTACCTCCGCACAGGCGACGCATAAAAAGGGTATTTACGGGCAGTATACGAGCACCGTGCTGACATCGCTTGGCAAATGTGTCTGCGGTATATTTGAGGTAATGAGGATGTTTGAAGTAATTTTCAGCACAATTGCGATAGTGGAGCAAGCAACGCAATCAATGCTCATCTCTAGCACTTAATTTCCCACCAACAGGACAATAGTTACAGCAACCATAACCCAGTCAAATACTTGTGGCACTGAAAATATAAATAACAGCAAATTGTTACAGTGGTAGTAATAATTTTGTTTCCGTTGTACACCGGTGTAACAACGTTCGAAATGTTTTAAGGTGACTGATAGTAAAATGTCCAAAGTCATAGAAACAAAGCCCTGGGCTTATAAGTTTTTATAAAAAATTAAAACAAACTTCCCAAAAGGCCAATTAAAGACGGGGATTAAGTGGAGTGTCCAACGGATGACGCTCTGGCGCCAATTTGAGGGGAAAAATGCCGTTTTCGGTATTGGGATTTTCTCTATAACCAAGACAGCTATTCAAGTGATTCAAAAGGCCTATAAAGCTGGGTGAAAGCACTACAGCGGGGTACCAGGGAATTGTCTTAAACTATTTACTTTTGATTTTATCATCTTTTACGTTAAATCAGCCCATATTTCAATGGGTTATTCACTTCAAAAGGCGATAACTTTCAAACAAACATTTTCCTCTTTAACCCCTGATATCATGCTGTAGTCCACATTCCTAACAACAATAGGTGCAACTTTTGTAACGATCGGTTGCTCAGATAGTGAGATATACTTGGCAGCGATTCACTTATCTCGTCAATACAGAAAGCTGTTAAAACAGCCAAAAACGTTCACAGGTTGGTTAACTTACTAACTTCGGTGACAATAGTTGCGATGCTCTAGATCATGGTCACCTCAGGTGGTTTAGATCATATCAAGAGCTGATAGTCTTTAAGATACTGTCATCAGTTGGCAAACTTACTGATTGCTGATGCATTTTAAATGCATTGTAGTTGACCAAAAGCTCGTTTACAACAAACCTGTTAATTATGCACCGCTGCACTTCCCAACCCAGGTAATAACAGGTATCAAAATCGTCTTGGTGGGCTTTCATATTTTTCAAAATATCTCATTTATTTCATGGGGTGATTTTATTGGTATTTGTAAATGACGTTTAATATCAATATTTAAACAATTGAGTTCAAACACCGTCGCGAACATTAATAAAAGTAATTGCTCTCAGGGTAACTTGAAGCATGCGTATGCCCAGGCATTACTTCCGTGGAAGAAAACGTGTTGAAGAACAAACAGAAAAAAAGAGCGGTATATTAAAGAAAAAAATAGGAACTTATGTACTAAAATGGTTCGTAATCCTAATTCGTTTATGCTTTGAGGATTTGTTTCTGAA